GAGCGAGCTGCGGGGGACACGGGGGTAAAAGGGCTGCTGCGGCAGTATAAGCAGCTGAGCACTGACCCGGTTTTCTGCTACCGCTGCTGTTACCGCCACCCGCGCGCGAGCGTATCATATATATATATATATATATATATATATATAGTTTCTTGCGCGCGTGACGTTGGTCGGCCGGGGGTGACGTCATGCCGCTGCCACACACACACACACTTTTCATACTCAGCTCTCTCTCGCAAGCTCGGCTCTCCTCGTCACGGGTCATTCAAGCTTTCCCTTCGGTGTTATAGCAGCAGCAGCAGCAGTCGGCGGCGCTCGATTTCGCCGCGCGTATCCTAGTTTTCGTTCAGAGCTCGCCAAGGCTAGCCAGAGAGCTAGAGCTCATTCATGCGCGCCTCGGCTCGCTGTACCAGCCAGTATCATATGAGCGCGCCCTTAATACGCGCCGCCACCTAGAACGCGCGGTATCGTATTACAATTATCGCTCGTAATATATACGGTGGTATACGTTTTTTTTGTTTTTTTACGAGCTGCGGACTGCCGCGGCCGACGATCCTTTTCGTTCTCGCTAAATATAGCTGCTGCATATACAGCAGATTAGCTATTCCGCTGCACGTGGTGGTTGCCATGGCCGATTCGTAATTGGAATCGCGCGCTCGAGCTCTGCTGCTGCAGTAGTACACACACAGAGAGTAAACGAGCTGCATGGCTGCTGCTGCTGCTGCTGATGTTGCACGACCTGCGATAATTATCAGATTTTGTTACATCTTCATCAACGGTGGGTACATATTGATCTATACTCTCTCACACACATACAAACTCATCTTCGTGTATAGCCAACACGTATAGGTAGTACATATAGAAGTGGGCACGCGGGTGGAGGCTCGAGAGTTCTCCACTGCTGTCGACCGAGTTAATCTAATTCAATGGACTGACGCGTGGCGCGCGAAAGCTCGACGCGGACGACCGGATCGCTTGTTATTCCTGGCAACACGTGCGCGCGCGGATATAATGCATCCCCTCTCGCGCCTATAAAGCATATAAACCCACACGTGTGCAACCCGCTCGCGCGTATTCATACGTTAATGGGAAAGTATTAAAAGTCGTTTCGGATTTAAATGCGATATGCTCTCCCGTCCCGACCTCTTTTCGCGGAAAAGCTGTTTTTATCGCTATGTGCGCGCTGAATGCGTTGGAGAATCGACTCGCTGCTGCGATCAAAGTTTAATTCTGATAAATTGTTACCGACGTCGCGCGTAATATCGACCGATACTACTGTGTGCGACGAGCTTGACAACTTTTCTCCTCCTTACTCTTCTTCTTCTTCTTCTTCTTCTTCTTCTTCTTCTCGTACTCGAGCGCCGTATACTAGTACGTGCGAGTGCATTTTATGTTTCACATATGTATATCGTCGCTCGCTGCGCGATCGGCAGAAAGAAAACATTTGCCGTTCTTCTAAGGAAATATGTTTAAGTCGGACGGATTGATACGTTTGCCGTTGCATTTTATGATCCTCTATCTCACTCTTTCCCCGCGTATGCGACGCGAGCGTATAAAATTCATCCAATCGTGAATTCGGCCCGAGATGTGTAACGTATCTGATTGATTTGACGAAAAATCTTCGCCGAAAGATATCATGACCGTTCAAGCCTTCACTTTTTACGACTTTTTTGCTCGGGCCGTCGAGTTGAAGTTATGTATCGTCCTGGTGCAAGCTAAAACGTTTACGTCTTAATACGCGCGTATATCTATTGATATTTTTTTCCAACATTACTTTGAAAAAAAGTCACGATGATATTCTCTTTTGCATTATATCAAGTCAGAACGCATGCATGGGAGTTATCGACGTAGAACTCGGTACTTTTCAATGTGTAATGCAAATTTATAGAACATTGTATTCGTGGCTCGCGAGCAACGCCGCGTAATAGCGAAGACATTCTCGTCAAAAACAAGCGCGCAGAGCTGCTCCGTAGCAGTTGCGCCGCGCGTTAACGCATGCACATACATACACACATGCACAAATCAAATTCGATGTTTCGAGTTACTCCGGGTATACGCGAACACGCTGCGTTGATTATATACCATATTTATAGTGCCTTGAACTTTGAATACGTATATTCAGTCTAACCCGCCTGCCTGCCTGTAGCTCGTAAATTTAGTCATGCGAATTATAGGATTTGAAAATGAATCCTGTGCGAGAGTCGCGCAGTGCCGCCGCCGCCGTCGCTGCGCGAGGAAGCTTTTAACGCTCCGTAATACGTATATGGCGCAGTATACATAGTGGCATTAGACTATATACTGTATGCTGCACATAGAAAGAAATATCAAGTTTCCAGCTCGAGTTATTTTTCTTTCGGAGCTTGGCCAAAGTTTTCGATTGAAGAATGCAGCCAGCTCTGCTTTCCTTTTATTTCGACCTCGTGGAATAACAGACTGCAAGCTCGAAGATTATGTCTTACCTTCGTTTTTTTTTTTTTTTTTTTTTTTATAAATTCAAATAATTTAAATATACTCGAAGAAAGGAGGAGAGAGTTAAAGAAAGACAATCTACTCGAAAAAATGATTTATTTACCGACTCTCAAGTTATATCATCCCTAATAATTACCCGAGCTATTTTTCATCAAGTACGATAAATCCTCGAGCAAAGTTTCGTAATCACTTTTTTTCTCCGTATAGCTATTCGCTCGCGCGCACACATACCAACAGTACGTTACTTTATATGTATTTGTATCGATCCAGCTGGAGTTTAATCATGTCCAAGTGGCTCGTATCTCTTTCTCGCGCGCTAGCCCAGGCGGCAATAAGCGAAAATTGTCTCTGCCATCCTATCGTTATGCGCTCCTCGCTCCGTCTATTTCCCTCTGTGTCTCTCTATCTCGCTCTCTCTCTCTCTCTCTCTCTCTCTCTCTCTCTCTCTCTCTCTCTTGATTTTTCTTCTCATTAGGTGCACTTCAAAGAGTAAATCCGAGCTTTTAGTAACTTTTTTTTCCTTCTACCTGTCGTACACTGGGCGCACACGTACTACACGTTGCGAGACACACATTCGAAAATCACTTCTTTTTTTCTTTTATCGCGACGGGAAAGAAAATCCAATAGTTAATGTATTTTCGAGTTTATCGAATGAGTTGTGTAGAATCGTGTTAAATCAAGTGCGGAGATAGCGGAAGGTATGAAAAGACACGTTTAATACGTAACGCAGTTACAGCAGCTGATTACTAATTCGATTCGCACACGAGGCACACGCGCGCGCGCCTAGGCTCGGGCCTCGAGTAATTTACAAATTCGACGCTATAACACACGCAGTTTTGCGTTCGAATGCAGTCGGCAGAAATGAAATTAAAATAATTGTCGTATAAAAGTAAAACATATGGTCGATCGGGCCCGAGGGCAGGGGCAGGCTGCGTTCCAAATTGTATTCGTATAATTCCAGCAGAACTTGGCCGATATTCTCATTGTGCAGAAGAAACAAAGAGCCCCGCAGTCGAGGCTAATATCATGCTCGGCCGTGTGAAATTACCCAGCCAAACTTTGCCTTAAAAGCGTGCTTATCCCCCGTAGCGGAGTTTGCGCAGCGGCTTATTTCCTATTTATCACACGAATGCTGCATATTTTTGGGGGAAATATTAAGTTTAAACTCGAGTAACTTTAGGCTCTTTTTGTAATCCTCGAACTTCTTAATTAGATGATTTTCAAGTCCGCGCAAGTGGTGCAGGTAAATGCTTACCGCTCCTTGTTCAGAATGATTTGGTTCCGAAAAATATTTCATTATCACATTTGATATCAGGGATGAACGATAGGAGTATAAGGTCAATGTGGGTACTTTCGCTCATGTCTCTATATTTGCTCAGTAATTGATATTAAAAATCTAATCTAACACAAAAAAATTTTTTTTTAATTAATCGTATTGAGCCGAACATTTTTAATTTAACTACATTATTTAAATACTGGTATTAAGTTTGAATGTCTACCCTGTAACGAATATATTATTCGTTATGCTCTCTCCCTGCAATTTATATTAATTTAAAATAATTATAAATAATATGTCGCATATATATTTGTATTTCAGCACGACAAATCGTCGGCCGACGGGCCGCGGTGCCGCTGGGGTGCGGTGGGAGGGGGAGAGAGAGATAAGTTCGGGGTTCGCGCCTAGAATGTACAGGCCCGCGATTCGAGACTGTTAACACAACATCTATTACACGCTTGCCTTGATATTTTATTGTAACTTAATAATATATTTTGACTCTGTCACTTGCGGATTGAAAGAATTAAGGTACTTGCCATCTAGTGGTGAAAACTTGAAGTGGTATTATCGTATTTAAAGTGGTCAAAAAACTAGTCTAAAATGTGGAAAAAGTTAAATGATCATTTAAATCAGTTGAACTGCACTTAGTATTTCTAACATAATTATAACACAAACATTGTCAACAACAGGTCAATTGATACTTTTGGTCATTAGGCTATTATTGATGTTAAGCATTTCTCTAATGTTTATATTTTTTATAACTTTTTCTCGATGATTTTCTGCAGTTATGAATGCATATTTTAGGATCTATAACTTTGAATGATTGTATGTTTATCAATAGAAAAATCAAAACTCCTTTTTTATATTTATTTAAATGACGTGAAATTTTGTAAAATTTTATAACACTAGACACAAAAAAGTATCGAAAATGAGCTCACAGCCATTATGAATTACTTTGCCCCAATATAACTAAGCAAAACTTGATGAATATTATATGAAAATGAATCTTTGTTCATTAGCGGCTCTATTGTCGTTTCATAAATCTCAAGTGGCAATCGGTCACGCGTCAGTTGTCAGAATGAATTCAGGGCTTTATTGGGTAAAATTGGTTGCCCAAAAATTTGAGTATTCGACTCGAACTCGGTAAAAAAACCTGACCCGATCGAGTTTTCGCGCACATCCCTGTTCGTAATACAGCAAATAAAGCGAGACTTTATGCATGAGATATCTAAAATGTTCAAAACTTGCATTATAGGATATCGATTACGAGGGCTTCAGAAAGTTTCTCGACACTTATCTGGACGTCAAAACGCCGGATGAGCTGTCACGTCACCTGTTCCTCTCGTTCGTCAAGAAGGGCCCCCGCGGAGTCGACGGCAAAGCTTTCAAGGTAAGAAAGAAGAAAACTTAACTCGTATATTCACGCGAAATGGCGCGAAGCACGACCTGAGAAAGCGATTTTCACGCATTTGCACGACACGATTTTCCGCCCAAGCAGGAAATGGCCGTGCTATCGTCGACGACCGCTTGCGCAGCCATCACTTCGCACACGACGTCGAGCAGCAACGTCAACAGCACCGGCCTGACCCAGGGCTCGGAGAGCCACGGAAGCTCGTTCGCCGACAAGATTCACGGACTGACGGAGAAGCTGCAGGCGCTCGGCCATCACAGAGCGGACAGCGAGGCCTCCGGCAGACCTCGAACCGGTACAATTTGTCATCTATCCGATTTATTTTTCGCGCCTTCTGCACCATCGTTTTTTCCTTTCCAAAACAGAAATTCTGCATTTCAGGAAGTGTCCATCCGATGATATCAGTGACCCACACGTCCTACAGCTGCCACGACGTGCTCGAGAAGAAGAGCACCGACAGCAGCCCCAGCCACAGCCAGATATCGCGCAATTCCTCGCGCAAGTCCAACTACTCGCTGCTCGTTAATAATGGAAAATTGGACGGTAAGGCTGGGAAAAAATGAGCATCCGACTCCTGTGCGCACAGTCGTGCGTATAGCCGAAACGAAAATAATCGAGCGAGATTAGTTCCTTTTCTCGTCGCTCACTCGTGTGTATACGTACACATTGTAGTTTTTATCCAAATATACGTGTTCAGTACCTTATGTACGTGCTCTCCCTCGCTCTCTCTCTCTCTCTCTCTCTCGTCTTTATAATCCCATTGAAGTTTCTTTATATATAGAAGGTCCTTTACGTACAGTGTGTGGGTAATAAACGGCTTCGTCCTGCACGAGCTGCACAGCCGAAACATATTTTCACAATCGTTTTTTCCTAGCTTTTTCTTTTCTTTTTTTTTTATATCCCTTATACTCTCGAAATGTACTTTTGTATAGTCCACTTTTGTCGAGTTTATATCTCGAACAAATATCGTCTCAGCTCGTGAAAGTTGTGCCGAGCTTTTCTCCGACTTCTGAGAGCTGCTGCCCTCGCGCACTGTCGGCAAGTTCGCTCGTTATTATTTTACTACCTCCGTTACTTTTGGCCTTTTTTTCCGCGCTCAGTCAGCTGATCCGTAAGTCGCGTATTAACAACAGTAGCAGCAACGGAATTAGTTTTCGACCTTATGTTTTAATGCGCTCGCGTAAACCAACTGTTGGTCGAATAATTCCGAGCGGCAACGACGACGACGACGACGAGGACGCATTAGCTATACGGATATGCTTGAGAGAGAAAAAGAAATCGGATCGATCGGCTATACATAGGTTCATATATAGACGTACGGGTCGGAGGGCTATACGGCTGCTTCTTGCTCTAATCTCCTCTTAAATTTGCTCCATATCCTGACGAGGCGCGCGCCCGAGCGTCCAATCGCTTTATGCTCCACATCTGGACATTCGTGGAAATCGATCGTCGAGCGCGAGGCTATACTGTATACGGCCGGGGCTCGAGATAATGCCTCGCGCGAAAATTGACGACACGTGACGCACACATTATTCCCGGCCGGCCTATTTTGCCGGAAGTTTAGCCTGCTCTCGTGCTCTACTCGCAAATTGGGTTACGTAACTCGATCGAGCTGCTTTTTTTTTCATCTCTCCCTTCGAGTCGTCGGACTCTTTATTAATCCAATGACGGCATCTTCCGGGCTCTTTTTGCCTTTTTCATATCGCGCGCTGTTATCGCATGCTCGCGCGCTCTCCTGTGTATATTCCTGACGGATCAAAAAGTGATTTATCGCGAGCGGAGGATCTATTATTGGATGGCAGACTTCTCTTGAGAAAAAAACGACGGGCGTTTTTGTTTACAATAGTTTCAGTATCGAGCTTGCAGTCGGGAGAAAACAATTTTTCCTCATTGATAACATCGTACGTGTTACAGTGATCTTTGTGGAAGTAGAACGTTTTTCATTACCTCGGCACTTTTTACCAACGCATGTATTATGCATTCAAAAGCGATGTGTACTTTTTGTATTTGACCCGCGCGATATACACATTCCATCCGATTGAATTTTATCCTCCTCGGAGATTCCAAATTACCATAAAGCCCCTTACACGAGGGCAAACTTGGCAGTCTCGGGCTCTATATACGATAATAGTATACGTATACGTGCACAAGCGCGCACAATTCGAATCGGAATATTATTTTTTTTTTTTTTACTCTGCCGTTGACTACACATCGAAAAAGTGCATCATCGCCCGAGGAGATGGAAATCGCTTCGCGCAAACTCTCCAAATCGATAATCCACTCGTTGGCAAATATACGGCCATCCGCGTATAAATGTGGGCTTGCACGACGAATACGAAAGAGAAAGACAGTTAGGGCCCGGTAAACAATTCCGATTTGCCGAAAAGTTTCATTTTTTTTCCTCCACTCTTTTTGGACGATATATCATAGAATGCGTAGCTCTGCAAAGGCTGAAACTGATTTATCTCGCACACACAGTGGTAGTAGCTTACGTAATACAAGCGAGCATTTTGATAAATCTAAAGTCCGTTGATGATGTGCTCGCACGCTTGTAGATTTTTTCCTCCTTTCTTTTCCTTTTTTTTTCTACTCTTCGAGCCGGATATATTCGATAAAGCTTTTTATAACGCGCCTGCACGTATAGATTCCCGGATTTGATTTTTCAGCTGCACGTAGCGCGCATTTATAACGGTGTAACGGCCGGTCTGTGTACGTAGGCGGCGCGTAACGTGTAAACCAAGACTCTCTCCCGATCGAATCCACGTATTTATAGGAGAGCTTATTACGTAGACTAACAAGTTGTCACGAGCTTGCGCGCGCGGCTCGATACGTAGGTACACGACGATCGCACATGGGAAATACGCGCATCGCGCATGATGTAATGTGGATCGGTTGGAAACGTTGTGTCGAATCGCGGCGCACACACGACGCGTATCGGCCTGCGAGCGCGTGCGAATCGACGTATATATTACACGTATCCGCGTGCGGTACGCTCGAGAGCTCGATGCTATATTTAAAATCACATCAAAGCGATCGCGCGCGCGCGCTCGAGACCGTACCGTAATAATAATGACGCGATATTTCAACGCATACACGAGATCGAGCTATATACAGGAGAGAGAGAGAGAGAGAGAGAGTGACGCGCTTGTAAGTCGCAAGCTCGCGCGCGTGTCGTTCAATTAATTCCCACCTCATTACGATGTGATTGCTGCAACGTCGCTGTGTGCGTGTGTGTAAGTGCGTATCTGCCCGATTCGTTTATACACGACGGTACATATATAGCTCTCGGAGAGCAGCGCGAAGCACGTGTGCGAGAGATCTATACACGATGCGATGCCTGAGCGAGTAGACGAGTTGAAATTAATTTTACGAACGCTGACTAAGTGGCTCTCGAGGAGTGGATTTTTTTTTAAATAGCCGATGTCCGACGGGCATCACAAAGGAGTGTTATATATAGCGATTGTACTACTGTCTGACTGACGTACTATATAAAGTCGAGCTTGCAAGAGCTTCTCGGTGTAGGGAATAAAACAATCGATGAGTATCTATGAGAGATTAAATCAAAAAATACGTTTACATCAAAATGAATTTATGAGATTTAGTCAAATTAAAATATTGATAAGTCAGCGTCGTAAAATCATTTATATATCATTGATTGATAATATAATCCGTTCGTTTGCGATTTTACGGGAACTCAACTAAAATTCAAGCATTTTTCAAAGGAGGCCATCAAAAGTTTACTTGTGGATTTGACAGGGACATCTAGCGGTAAAACTTCTACTATATTTGCATTGACACGATAAATTACAACGAACGAAGTATGAGAGGTTTTAAATTTGATGACGTTTTATTTGTAAACATTATTAAAGTGTCGTATAAAGCTCAACTGTTTCAGATTTCGTTAATGAAAGCAATGATAGTTCACGAAAAAATAAAAATTTAAAAATTATTAATAAATTCAATAAATTATTATTTTTCCAATTGGTTTTGTTGAAGTGGTAAACTTGTTAATCTTGTTGTTGTTGGTACTTCGTTAATCTTATTTCAAAGACTTCTATATTCATTCTTATAAAAATGATCATTCCGCGATCTTTGTCTCTGATAGGTACTTTTCGGCTTATTTGGTCATTGTAACACGAAAGGACAAGGCTCCTGTTCCCCAGAAGTCTATATACGTGTGATTATCAACTCAGCCTTTACGGGCTAGCTCAAGTCCAAACCTCACGAGCCTGTAAAAAAATCTCACTCCAAAAAAGCTCATTCGATATTAAAATCACGATACGCGTGCACCGTTGCATCATGGAGCAAACGTTACGTTGGACAAGCACAGCAAGTGCGCAGCTTTGTACCTCGCAATACACGCACCGCGTGCAGCTCGCGCGTTGGATACCCTATGCACACGGACGCAGGCACGCACACGTATATAGACGCGCTGTCGCGTCACTGCTCTCTCGACGCTGCACTGCAGGCGTCTGCAACTGACGACGACGCTGATGACTCGAAAATAGAACGCCCGCGTGTATATAACGCTCGTGTGCGTGCGCGAACACAAACGCGTCTGGCCGTGTATATATATAGAGTACTGCACGTAAAAAGCTCTCGGTACAATGCACACACATGCACGGGAGATCGCTCCGTACATAGGCTTACGCCGCTGCTGTTCAGCTGCTCGCGCGAGCATATAGGTATATACCGTAAGGTACGGAGCGTCGAGTTGCGTCACGAGGCGCTCGGCAGCTGTGTGCCGTGCACCGTGTAGAACGTGTGTGGCGAAAATTTTAAACGTACAACGCGCTACACTACCTATATCGTACTATGTATAAGTTGGTGGCGCGGAGCTTGCATCGCTCTCAGTTGACGCTCGGCGGTCGCCGCAAACTAAGCAGTCGTGCTGGTGGTGGTGGTGCGCGATGAAAGACGAAAAACAAAACAGACTTTGTTTCTTTTTTCATCTCTCTTGAATCTATACATTTTTCGCTCTGTGTGTTTGTGTATACAAGTGCGTGACTCGTGCCGTCTCTCGAGTGTATATCTTTGTGTATCGCTTATTCTCGTGTTTATGTACATATTACAATTGTATATTTGCTGCTGTATGGAATGTGTCGCCGATCGAAAGTCGATATCGAACAGTTCGAGACGGCCATTTAACTCGGTCCAAGTTATCTCGATGTGAGTCGCAATTTTTATTTTTACTCTTTCCTCGAGTCTCTATCCGCAGCAGCGATCCGATATCATCATCATTATTATTATAACATCGATCGACGAACGTCGATATATAGCAATGGACGTAAGCTGGAGAAACAATTGCTAATAGCGCTCATTATACACATTCATGTAAATCATCCACTTTCGAATTCCAATGAGGGCTCACTCGCACTGCAGCAGCAGCGGCAGCAGCTCCGGCGCGCTAATGGCCAATGAACGCCCCGCTCTATAGGTATATAATAACAATGCGCGCGACTCGGTGTGCGAAGGTGCAGCGCCAAAGCCGGAGCGCATATCGTTCATTATATGCATATGTGCACTGCTACGTGTCCTATACACATATATCCGCGTTTATACGAGCTTTGAATACTATTAATGATCCGCGTATATGCTTTGCGATCGCAGCCCCGTCAATATAATAGCTCGGCGTATATCTACATATGTACGAGCCAAAATAGTAATATTCTCTCTCGATGTGTAGCAGTTATAGTGCCGGTGCTAATCGCGATCGGCTCGAGCTACTGCACTATTGACATTTTTGACGTTTTCTCGATTGGCGAATTTTCGCGGTACGGCCGTCACGCTATTACACTGTACGCGAATATATCACGAGCTCGCAAAAACTTTGCCGTATCGCAATTCTTGAAATCTGCATTCACGCGTATACGCGACAAGTTTACATTATACACATGTATATGAATGCGGTGTCGCGATCGTCGCGCGGGTTTAAAATTAGTCTTTGCTATTATATAGCATCGTGTGCGCTACGACGTCCTATACATGACACGCGAGCTCGTGCCGTCGCACCGCCGCCGCCGCCACCGCCGCTATAACTCGAGCTTTCTTTATATGCGACACGACCGAATTGCTGCTCGCTTTTGCTTCAAGCTCTGCAGTGCCAAAAAAACTATCGCGACGGCAAGAAGGTCGGATCAGCCGCTGCTGCGCGCACAGATCGCAATTGCAGCCCGCTTCGCGAATAGTACGTTATATGTGTGTAACTGCACATGTGCGGAGATCGATCCATTGTCCCATTGTCACCCTTTCGTGGGTGGAAAAGCAAAAAAAAACCACCGTTATATACGTAGTGTTGGCGTATTTTTTGGTGAGACAGTGACGCGCACGTGGCAGCTGTTGTGCGCTAGACACAATAGGCATGGAGCTGGTGAAAAGGCGAGATTCGATAGGCTTCAAGATCGTCGTCCTGACGCCGCTCTTGGAGAGGATTTGCTTCCTGTCAAGTAGGTCCCAGCCACGAACGACGGATATTCTCGGCGCATATTTTGCAATTGTAATGTTTGCAAACTGCAGTCTAGCTGCCTCGACGCACGTTTATTTTTGACGGAAACTAGTTTGTCAAAGCTGTCGCTGATTCAAGCTATAGGAAGTCGAACGCGATAATCGCTATTAATCTTGGGTTCTGCCAAAAGCCATTCTCGCAACGCGCGCATACAAAGCGCGCGAATATCGAGCGCAGCTAGCGCACACGCACGCGTTCCAATTCGTCGCACGCGTTCGCTCCACAAAGTTTTCGAAAATATATTCGACTTAATTGCCAGCCGAGGCAAATGAACAAACTTTACTCTCTACTCGAGACCCCGCATCTCTCTTTCTCTCTCTCTCGCGTATAATAGGTCGCGTCGGCGAGGTATAATCGAATTAAATAATACACAATACTTAATATATCGGCGCGATGCACGCACCGATTGCACGCTAGAGCGAGAGGAGGGCCATTGAATAAAAATACCTGTACGTTATACGTACGCGCTTTCGCTCCGGCAGTATATGCAGTCAAAGCAAGGGGATAGCTAACTCGAGTGGGAGCTTGCGAGCTTTTTCGTATTTATTATTATATATAGCCCGCCGCACACAGTTTTGTGGCAGACGCTTGCGTAGCGGCTACACATAATATGCTCGATCGCGCGATCGATGCACATTAAATAAAGGCTATTTTCGTTTTTTGCTATATATAGCGCGCCTGGGTCGTCGTACACACCTGGCCGATGATCGTATCGTGTTTTATATATACGTTGTTATAAGCCGTCGAGACGCTCACGTGAATACGAGTACATGTATATTTTGGTAATTACAAGCCGAGCGTAAGACGATATGAGCTTCTTCACCGATGCGAGCTTCTTCTTTTTTTTTGCACGCGTATTACATGATGTACTATATATTATACTGCTTTTATATCAATGAAAACGATGATTATTTTGTTGCAGAGATGAGACATCTGGTCAGGAAGCAGAGCACGATAGACGTCCATTCGGTCAAAGTCAGCTTGAAGGACATCGTGTGCTATCTGTCGTTGCTGGAAGCCGGCAGACCGGAGGATAAGTTGGAATGTAAGTTCGACGAACTCGGCTGGGCTCGGCCTTCTCCTCGTAATCGACGTCCGTTAAGCTCAGACCAACTCACACATACACACACTCATGCATCAACCTACTTCGTTATATATAGATGCAACATCCTATTTTTGCCTATTGCTATCCGATGCAGTAACTAAAATAGACGCCGTGTCGCGCGAATCGCTCGATATAGATCGCGCTTGAAAAATTGACCCACCGAAAATTGCGCCGTATGCCGTATAGATGCTTGACAACTTTTTTGACATAGAGTTCCGATCGATCGAAAAAAGGCACGTTGACCAGTCTAAATAACCTATTTCTAGTAAAGTTTATAAAAAAGCTCTTTTAGAATAATTTTTAAACCGGTTAACTTATCTGTTCATTGGATGCTTACTGGTGTTTTTCTTTGTGATTTTCAACTCATTATTTTGACTAAAATATACGTTCATTATTATTATTATTATTATTAAAAAAAGTGTGCCTCGATTCGTACAATCTCGAAAGTAGGTCAAAGTCTCTCTCTCTCTCTCTGTACGCGCGGCAGTGCGTTTTTGTTTTTGTATCGCGTCGCGGTGTCAAGCTCTCTCGTGCGTCAGATGAGCGCCGCCGAAAGTGCGCGCCTAAAATTACGCCGCGTTAATCCTACTGTATCGCGCGGGACTCGTTTCGAGCGTCGAATAATTGTCGTCGCGATCCGCAGACCGGCGGCGAATCAATGCCAACTATATACATCGACGCTCTTGACTGCGAACGCAAAATACTTCGCGCGCGTAATGCAGGCTGTACAAATACGCGTATCGCGATCGGCTCGTTCAAGGTATAATCCATGTAACCAACTTGTTGACATTTTTTTTCACTATATACGAAGAAAGGATATATGCGTTAGATTCAACGCATCTGATTATTAGGATTAATGAGACATCTCTGAATTGACTGGCGTTTGTTTTCTTGCAGTTATGTTTCGACTTTACGACACCGACGGCAATGGAGTCCTCGATACGAACGTAAGTCGATAAGAGCCTTATCTTACTAGACTTGCTAATGAACATTATACATTGAAAATTAAGTCGTCGTCGTCGTCGTCGGGAGGCGGGGAACCGAGTAGGCTTTAAATACAACTATGATGGAATTTCAAACATCAAGAGCGAGTCTTAGCGAATATCATTGCCACGCGTTGTATCGAATCGGGAGCAAAACAAAATTTATTGCTTCATTTTTTTTTCGTTCATTCGTTCATTTTTGAAAGGATGCGTATCGTCGGAATTGTGCGCCGCGCGAACACGTGCTCTATTATTATAGGCAGCCGCGCGGCGATAAAAGTGTCATTGAAAGTGGTCCTATTCGATGCAGCTCGGACAATCGTTTCTCCGAAATTGCCGCAATCAAGATCGAACAGCTACATCCTAAAATTAACCACGCGCATTGATTTTATCTCATTCAATGGGTCGCGTTTTTCAACCGAGGTATATAGACAGCATCGAAATATATTTTCCTTCGAGTGAAAGAGAGAGAAAAAAAATTCGAAAATGTATATATATAGCTCGGTACGCGAGTGCGCGCGACGCGCGATGATTTATATACAATAGTCGAAAAACGTTTGCGAAGGTATTTCGACGTGCGCTTCGAGTATACGGACAAATATTAGCGGAGCCGAGGTGAAAACAAAGTAAAGTCGCGCCAGTATAGCGCAGCGCAGTGCAGAAGCTCGCGTCGAGCGCTACATACACGGAATGCGATATTCGCAAGCAGCAGTTTGTTACATGCGACTTCTTATCTGATTGTCTCGATTTCCGTCTCTCGTCTCTCGATTCACAACAACTACTCCCCGAACGGCAACGACGACAACGACGTCAATTGTATATTTCCCCGTATGCGCGCATACGCATACGTTTTGCCGCAGTACACATACTCGTATAATATATCGTCGCCTCGTTACGTATTCTGTCCCGCAGGAGATGGACTGCATCGTCAATCAAATGATGAACGTCGCCGAGTACCTCGGCTGGGACGTTACGGAGCTCAAACCAGTGAGTGCAATATAATAAATCGTTTCTATATTTTCTGAAACTAGCGATGATCGTTAGTTAGCGCGAGCTCGCGACAATGCGGAAAAATACGATAAAAAAAAAAAAAAAACGATGGCTTCTTTTCGCGCAGATTCTACAGGACATGATGATCGAGATCGACTACGACGCGGACGGCACCGTCTCGTTGGAGGAGTGGAAGCGAGGCGGCCTGACGACGATACCGCTGCTGGTGCTGCTGGGCCTCGACTCGAACGTCAAGGAGGACGGCAATCATCTCTGGCGGCTGAAGCACTTCAGCAAGCCGGCCTACTGCAACCTCTGCCTTAATATGCTCGTCGGTCTCGGCAAAAAGGGTCTCTGCTGCGTTTGTGAGTATCGATCGATCACAGCTTCGAAAATGCGAAATTGCGAGCGTAAATAATTCTCGTTGTCGTCGTCGTCGTCGACAGTCTGCAAGTACACGGTGCACGAGCGATGCGTGCAGCGGGCGCCGGCCTCGTGCATCGCCACCTACGTCAAGAGCAAAAAGACGTCGCAGACGATGGCTCATCACTGGGTCGAGGGCAACTGTCACGGCAAGTGCTCCAAGTGCAGAAAGACCATCAAGAGCTACAACGGCATCACTGGCCTGCATTGCCGATGGTGCCAATTGACGGTGAGAATCTTCTGCTAATATTATACGTTGATTAATAATATAATTATAATATGTATGTGGTGTGTGTACAGCTGCACAACAAGTGCGTGTCGCAAGTGCGAGCGGAATGCAACCTGGGCGATCACGCGGTGCACATACTGCCGCCCACGGCCATCTGTCCGGTCGTGCTGGACCGTCAGAGATCGCTCTCGAGGGACAGCAAGCGAGGCAGCAAACACGGCCAGGACACGTCCTCGGTTAGCTCGGTAATTCTTCTTCTCCTCCTCCGCACACCGACTGTCGCGCGACACACATATATATACCGAGTTCGGGTCTCAATAGCTCTCTGCTCCCACAGGGCGGCTTCCTTTCGACGGGCCCGCCGACGACTCAGCAGCCGGCCATGTCCTTTCAAATAACTCCGACGCCCAACACGGTGCCGCTCCTCGTCTTCATCAATCCCAAGTCGGGTGGCCGCCAGGGCGAGCGCATGCTGCGCAAATTCCAGTACATTCTCAATCCGCGCCAGGTGCACAATCTCGCCATCGGCGGACCGATGCAGGGCTTGCAGATGTTCAAGGACGTCGACAACTTCAAAGTCATATGCTGCGGTGGCGACGGCACCGTCGGTTGGGTTCTCGAGACCATGGGTAAAATGGCTTGGATCGCTATATATAAAAGCGTGGATCTGATTTTCTAATTTTTTTCTCCTCCTCCTCGGCGCAGATCGCGTTCAGTTCGAGCATCAACCGGCCGTGGCCGTGATACCGCTCGGCACGGGCAACGACCTCGCCAGATGCCTGCGCTGGGGCGGCGGCTACGAGGGCGAGTCCATCTACAAGATCCTCAAGAAAATCGAGAAGGCCACGCCGGTGATGATGGACCGATGGCAGATCGAGCTGACCGACAACAACTCGAGCGAGGAGAGGCGGCCCAACGAGGACAGCATACCCTACAACATCATCAACAATTACTTCTCCGTCGGGGTGGACGCCGCCATCTGCGTCAAGTTCCATCTCGAGCGCGAAAAGAATCCGGAAAAGTTCAACAGCCGCATGAAGAACAAGCTCTGGTACTTCGAGTACGCGACCGGCGAGCAGTTCGCGGCCAGCTGCAAGAATCTACACGAGGATCTCGAAATTATCGTGAGTCTCTCTCTCTCTCTTGTGCTGCAGAAATCGAAGGATTTTTTTCTCGAATTACACTCACGCTTTTCGTTTGTACGCGCAGTGTGATGGTGTTCCTTTGGACTTGGCGCATGGCCCAGCTCTGCAAGGTGTAGCTCTCTTGAACATTCCCTTCACTCACGGAGGCTCGAACCTCTGGGGTGAGCATCACACGAGGCACAGGATCGGCAAGCGGAAAAAACGCCCCGACAAGGAGCTCAGCACGAGCAGCTTCAATTCCGTCGATCTCACGGCAGCCATTCAAGGTAGGCGTCAATCCTCATTCACTTACACGGCTCGATTTTTTAAAATCTCATTTTTATTTAAAACCTCGTTCCGAACAGACATCGGTGACAACCTCATAGAAGTCATTGGGCTGGAGAATTGTCTGCACATGGGCCAGGTGAAAACTGGTCTGAGAGCGTCCGGCAGAAGACTAGCCCAGTGCAGCAGTGTACAAATTAAAACCTCCAAACGATTTCCAATGCAAATCGACGGAGAACCCTGGGAACAAGGACCCTGCACCGTGAGTATAAAAATGCATGGAAAGACCATGAGCAATAGAAACCGAGAGAAAAATAAAAAATTTTCTCGTTTTTCTCGCTCGCCGATAGATCAACATCACGCACAAAAATCAAGTGCCCATGCTGATGGCACCGCCGCCGGAAAAGCGCAAAGGCTTCTTTCGATTTCTCAGGCGATGAGCTGCTCGCCGTTGAAGCAACCGGGCACAACACACGCATACACGACACGAACGGAACAAAGCGTTCTACGTGGTACATCGCACCAACAACAATACCTATGACGTCTTCGAAGCTATACGAAGCAAGAAAAAAAAATTATTCAATACAAGGATCAAATACTTCCTGCCACAGAGACTAGTCGTACTATGATTAAGGACTTTAATGAAACTCGAGCCAAACACGTTGCGTATGTTACGTTAAGCATAAAATAAGTATAAAAATTCATTGGTAATTAAGAATTGAATTACAATTATATATTGTACGTATTATATGTGTGGGTGTAGCATGAGTCAAACGAACGTTTTAGCGAATTACGACGATGCGTTTTTCACTGAATCAATTGACATTTGGGGAAAAGAAATTTGAATGAGAGTCTATATCTTCGTTGTAAATTTTATGTAAGTAGAGAGATTAACCAAAAAAACTATGTGATTGAAAGTGGAATCTGCGATTCCACTGCGGGGGGGAGTAGAGAAACCAGAGATGTAATTGTTACAACTGAAGTATTCGATTTGTAGAGCTATCAACTTGTATAAAATAATGTTTTTGTGTACAGTATTTTCGATTTATATAATTATTTAACTCTGTGTGTATCGTATCGAGCACGCTAAGCCGATCAAAGGATATTAAATACAATTAATTATTAGGTTTAGGACTCCTGTCGCGGGTGGGGAGTCATAGAAGAAGAAAAAAACGCTTATCTACTTTATGTATTAAGAAATTAACTATAATGTATGTATGTTATAAACTACAGTTAAAAAAGCGAATTATAAATTATATACGTATTACGTGAAACACATTCGTTGATTAGATCAATAGCCGCGAGTGTCAAGTATTTCGTCGATAAAAAGTCTATTCATTTTTCAATGTTACAACATAGATAAAGATTTAAAAAATGTTTACAGATTTTTATTAGAAAAAATGTGCTAAACGAAATATCGGCAGTTTTACAAGATTATATCGCGATTCGCTTCGAATGTGACGAAAAAAAAGAAAACCCATACGACCATTAAAATATAAATTCATTAGAGTATTATGAGTGATTACATCACTTTGATTGTATTAAAAAGCAAATATTCAATTCGTAATTGTATTATGTAATAGGATTTTTTTCAAAACTACGCCAGCCAAACTATTTTCTCATATCAAATATTACACATTAGAAATCATTTGCTCTGGTATGATTAATATTTAACAAAAACATGATAACTTTCAATGTATAACTGACATTTTTACAAGTGATTGGCTTATGCCGCGAACCAATATATCCAACAAGTAGAGTAAAACGTGATTAAAATTTAAACAATTTTAAAAATCAATGTAAATGTATCTTATTCCGTTTTATCGTGCAGAGGATATTTAAGCTTATTCGCCTTTTGTATAGGAAAGATGAAACTCTAGTCTTTGTAAAAATCTCTCTTTTTTTAATAAAATATAGCTATGTGCTCAGTTTATTTTTGTATTCATATATTATTTTTAAATGTACAAAAGTATAAAACAAATTAAAAATTGAAACTGATTAAAAATATTATTCTTTCACTTAAACTTGATTAGCATAGACAACTTCAATCATAACGAGTCATTTATTGTACCATTTGTCATTGTACTTTTAGTATTAGTACGATGTGACACTATTGCTATCGTCCCACAGACGAGAAATACTTTTACAATAAGTGCGACACAACATATTAGCAGGACTAGGTCTGTCCTATCTTTCTGTGTAAGAAAAAAATTTCTTTCAATAGTTATTTAAAGTTTTACACTAAGAATCAATTGCCCATTATGTTAAATTATACATTACATTTTCTTTTGCTTTAAACTCATCCTCCCAGGGTCTGACTGATTCAGATCCCGTTTCGGGCATCTGAAAGTATGAACATCGATAAACATACTGGCCTGGAGACGAATAAGTTTATTTTTAACACTGCGTGCGCGAAACACGGGCTTTCTAACCTTAAAGCGTCAGAAAACCCTAGTTTCTCGCAAGCAGAGTTAAAAAATATCGTTTGCAACTAGTCCGCGAGGAAGTTGACTCACCCAGGAGTCTTTGCACCCTCTCTACGCTCGGGTGAAAACAACTCCTGGGTGAGTCAACTGCTTCGCGCACTTGTTACAAAATATACTATTTTGGATGTGCCATTTTTTATGGGGTTTTAGGTTATGAAAATAATTATTGATAACAAATGTGAATTTTTTATTTCTAATTTTACATAAAAAATCATGTTTCAACAATTTTTCCATACTCACCTTAGGAAAGCAGAATGAAACTTGAAAAATCAAATACCAACTTTTAACCCTTGTAGATCCATGAGGGATGAACTTAGAGAGCTGAAAATTTTAGGATTTTCATTTCTCAATGTACTTCAAGAATACATGATACTTTGTTTCAATTTGATTTTTTTGGACTATCATGATTGAGGTGATTTAGCCAATATAATTTATATAAATATATTTTAGATTTTTGACTTTGATAAAATTCAGCCGAGCGGAGCCACTTGAACTGAAATTTACAACAGTAACTTGCATCATCTACAGATAAATTAAATTTACTCTGTACTTAAAAATAAACATTGAACTTATCTCATTGAATTCATTTCTTCTATTTTGACATTAGCGGGCCTGTCGCTTTATATACTTTTACACAAAAGTGTTTCATGACTTTACATTGATAGAAATAAACTACGGGACATCATGTCCTAACAGCCCATCAACAGAAAATGTTTAAAACTTCGAAGAAAATGTTTAATTTTTAACCGTTTTTATTGAGCAAGTTAGCATTAGTATGAATTTTGGTCATTACCGTGTTATTTCATCTTCACTTAAAAGTGCTATATATTACAAAAAAATTTTAATTTGTCTTGATCTTTGCTAGTTTACAGTTTGTCATTTGGCAAGTTGAGAAACAAAAAGACATTCTCATCTACCCCAAAATCAGTTACTTTTATGGGATATCACCCATAATATATGTATATTCTAGATTTTTGACTTTGATAAAATTCAGTCAAGCCACTTGAACTGATATTCACAACGGCAATACTTAAAAAATGTAAATCATAAAAAAATTCGCGCATAAAACGAGATTAAAAAACAACTTTGGAAAAGAAATCAGAATGAACGATAAGGTGGTATTTTTTTTGAGTTTTTTTATCAATGGATTGATCTGTTGAATGCGGAAAATATACAGGCAAATTATAGCCATCGAATAAAAATCACGTACAAATAAATTTTTGTCAAGTGTAGACGTATATCAATTGGTTGATAATTTCATTCAAAAAAGTGCTCGTCATTACAGTTTAATTGTCAAAATTCGCTAAATTCAACTATAAAAGGTAGATGCTAAGCTCCGTTTATTCACAGTAGCCCACGAAAATTTGAATCATGAAGTTCCACATTGCTTTTGCCGTATTATTCCTTGTTTGCGTAAGTTTGAACTCTTGAGTGTCGTCGCGATTATTTAGAATTAATTTTTTACCTTATTCATAAAACGAACTTTTTCTCAGGGAGCACAAGCTCGAGCAGTCGAAGGCGATATCAAGGAGCAGCTAAAAATCTTTATTGACCATCTGGAAACAACCATAAAGCCAGCCGTGACCGAGACCCACCGCCAAATCGAGCAAATTATAACAGATATGCAGGAAAGTGCAAAGGAGGATTTGAAAAAAATCCGCGACAAGCGTGAAGCAGAATTACTCATTTGGGTAAACATTTTTTTTCGATTCTACTACATACATCAAATATATGCACAAATAATATTCTCAATCGCAATTCAGATAAATACAGATGAAGCTGCAAAACTATCAGTTGCAGCCCACGAAATGCATATTGGTAATATGTTCGATTGCACATCCATAATCTCGGGCCCAATGATGGAGTACTCCTATGGTATCGATGGGGGGCTAGAAAAGTGCGTACAAAGCAGTTTAACAAAGTTTCTGCAGCCCGTGAACGAGTCCCTCGTGGCGCTTGACGAGACCTTTGTTGTCTTTCACAATCAGGTCGAGGTGGCTAAAAAATGCGTCGACGATGCTACCCTCTCAACATCGTTCTACGCAACCGAGTGCTTAAACAAGGTAAAAATAACACGAGCCGATTATTGATTATAAAATAAAACTTCGTTCATTTTTTCAGGCAATAATTACCGTCGACACTGCTTGGTTGGAGGCTTCGAGAAAAGTCGATTTGTTAAAGTTGAAAGATCAATATCATCAATTCTTGAAAGAATTCGACCAATGCGAACGACCAGAAGCTTACGAAAAAGTGAAAACCCAGATAAATAAAGCGGAAAATGGGATTAGAAATTGCTTTACCAGAATTACCGAAGGGAAAGAAGTGAGACAAATGGATGATGATTTTTGGCATTATATTGACACAAATCCAGAGGAGTTAGGGTACCCCTCGCTCCCTAACTGGCCCTGAACATTTTGGATATGCAATAATTCTACTGTTTTTAATATGTAATATACTATTTAATATGTAAATTTAATGTGTAATATACTAATTGGGCATTGAAAATGAAATGCGTTATACACTGAAGAATTTAATAACATCCATAAAAATTTAATTTTGATTGTTTTTCACAACATTTTTTCCAACACGGTCAGTCACTGACACGTCTACCATACTTTTCACAGATTGAATTGAAAAAAATGTATTTTGAATCGGCTTAAATAAATAATATCAATAATAATAATAACGTTTTTAAATCTAGACATTATTTTTATCTATTCGTATACATAGATTCGTAAAAATCTCACCACATTTAATTTTTCCGCAAGAAATTATATGAACGATCGACCAAACATTTCGACCAATCATGAAGCGAAGCACAGTTACTCGTCGACCAATAAGGTAACGAATAAAATGACTTCAAATGATTTTTTTAAAGAAAGAATTTAAAAAAGAAATACTTTTTACACAAGCATTATATGCCTCAATTATAAATATTTGTCTCTCTTTAAATAAGATTTCAAACTGAGTCTGGTTATAAAAAAAAATGTATTCATTTACACATTTTTTTTTTTTTAAACAATTAACGAATCCAAAAAACTTCATGGCTCTTCTGTTCTTTGCTAATTTTGTCAATTTCTAGTTTAGTGAGAAAACTTGCATCATGAGCTGACAGATTTGAAGGTTTTCGCAAAACCTTTAAATCCGTGTTATTGAAATTGTCCTACGTCCATTTTCCACGAAGATATGTTGTTTTACTGCGAATTTGAATTTTTTAAATATTACTCTCTCATAATGAAAATCAAAATTCACATGTTTTCAACTTTTTTATTCAATAAAACTTTATTTTAAAACATTTAAAATCACGCTTGAGAATTTGATGAAACAATTCTTTGAATAAGTAGTTTTTAATTAAAATAATTCTTCAGTAAATGCTCAAAAAATATTAAAAGTTCTTAAATTAATGATTATCACTCCTAATGATTTCTAGGAACTAAATTGTTCATCAATTGTCCTTTAATCATCGTTGAAACTCTATCACAAAGTACATCGGCTTCATCGAAACTGTTGAAAGTAAATGAAAAATAGAATCGAATCCGTCTTGGCTATTCAAATAAATAATTGTACATCATTACATACTTGTCTGTAGCCAACAAAATCGTACATTTGGCTGCTTTCAGCGATTTAATGACGGTCCAGATGATCCGCTTGCTATATGCGTTGCATCCAGCCGTGGGTTGGTCTAGCACCAAAACTTCCGGGCCACCCATTACGGTCAGTGCCATCATTGTGCGTTTTCTCACATTCGTAGTTAAAGCACTACCTTTGATCTGCAAGTATTTTTTGATTTCTGAAAAGACAAAACTTATTCTCGGACCTTCAGAATCGTTATACGTGAACATTTTTGCAAAAATATTTACGGAATAATTTGCTCCAGTATTCTGTTTCAGCAGCTTCTAATTCTTCGGGAATTTTACGGAGCCTTGAAAAAATATGGAAATGTTCTGCAACTGTAAGCTCGTCGTATAAAAAGATTTCTTGGGGGCAGTAGGCCATTTTTTTTAACATCTGAAAATGTTTATTTTTTAATACTTGATTGATTGATTAATTTGGTTCTAAATGTGATAGAATTTTATTCTCCCTACGTCTTGAACATTTTTTCCCTTAATGAAAATCGATCCATCTTCAGGAGTCTGAGCTCCGACTATCATTTTCAGTAAAGTAGATTTGCCAGCTTTATATGGACTCACAATACCCAAACATTCGCCTTTGCCAACTCTTAAACTAACGTCATAAATTAACTGTTTCGTAAACGAACTTTTGTACAGTCCATGGACGACGATTACTTCCTCGTCGGAACGTGGAGCATTACCCGATTTTTTTGGTAGCTGCTTATCTGTGTTAAAAAATTTGCTTGAGAATAAACTTATGTGATGGTTTAGTTCGAGAATTGTAAAATCTTAAAACTTACCATTCTGCGGATATTGTTTTGCAAATGTAAAATCTTCACCCTTTAATTCGGTAACTATTTGAGATATGACTTGTTTCTCCTTAATCATAGATTCACTTGGGGTTTTATAATTGCGCAAAATCGTTATCGGATAGAAACGACTAAAATATTTGTAAGAAAATTTCCTCGGACTCAAGATGAGTGTAAAGAAAATAAAGTGTGGCAAAATGATACAGTTAAAGTCGGGTATTAAAAGTGGTACATTATTTCCGTAGAAATCTTTATATTGCAATGGATATTTACATGTTCCATCATAACATTGCATACCTACTGAAAAGAAATAAAAAATTAGCACTCAACTAGAATTACTTGACAAAAAAAATTTTTTTTAATACTTACGGCAACACACGTCGTCTCTGTATTCCGTGCAATTGGATACTTGATATTCATTCGGAGTGAGTTTACATTTGTTATTGATAATGGCAGTTTGATAAATGCTCACAATGCTCGTAAAAAAAGTATGTAATGGCGAGTAGTAAGCAATCGTATTCAAAGATACAATGGCGTGTCCGTCAACCACGGCGATCCATATCAAATGTAAAGTGCCTGCGGAACGAAATTAATATTGAAAATTTGCCCGCTTATATCGTAAAGCGAATTGAAGAATTTAATTCAAATCAACTGACTTGTAAAGATAAAAATTCCAATCATCATCCTTGCTACGAACGACATATTAATTTTGATGCAACTGAGGATGTAACAGATTTCCAATCCACTGTATAGGAAGTGTAGACACATGATCGATATCAGTTCTAAAATAAAAAAGACATAGTCAACTTATTGCAATCTTTACTTACTAAAAAAAAATAAATAAAATGTATACCATCGTATTGACTTACCCATTGATTGCCAATTATGGAAATGCGCTCCTTCGTAAATATGCAGGTAAAATATTGTACCCAATGTAATGGCTACACAAGGGACGACTAACATCAAGTCATAAAGTATCAAATTCCCCCAATACACCGTCCTGGACATACCGGCCATAAATTGCAAATGCTTCATTTCTTTTACGTTCTCCTCCAGTGGCAGGTGCAAAAAGTTTCGCGCCAGTAGTGTGAGCCAGATGAGGTAAGAGAGAGCCCAAGCTAAGGCCACCCATCGATCGTATACTGTGGAGTTGAAGAGCGAGTTGATGCTGGGTATGCGTTGCAGGTGCACGCGAATTTCGTGCTCGAAATCGGTCATGTACTTGAGCAAGGCGTTGTTGGCGAGATTCAACGAGATCGGCAAGCTGTACACGGCCTTCGATGTGAATATGGCGCTGCCGACGATGGTGCCGTTCGCCGACTGGCCGAACTCGGCGGCTGCCACCAGACGCGTGCCGAATGTCGCCAATTGGTTCTTTGCCCTCTCATACAGCGCTGAAAAATGGACGATGTATTGAGTACGTATTATGTGCGTCAAAAACGCTCTTAAACGACTTTGCGACTTTACCATTTGTAAGATTGCCTCCAGTTAGTTTTACCGTATTCCAATGACCCGACGAACCGTAATTATTTTCCAAGCTTTCATTAAAAGCGGAGACGTAGGTTTCTGCGTTTCTATACATATTCGGAGATATTCCAATGGTCTCGGGTACGTCGATAACTGGCATATTTAACATTGAATTATATTTCGCCGCGCCAAGTAACAACAATCCCTGTTGAAAAAGAAACAAAAAAAAACCTTAAAAATACAAGAGAAAAATTCAAATGAGATTTTTCACTTACGAATATCGTTGACTTCCAAAATAATGATAAACGTCTGAAGAGGTGTTTGTTCAAGATGTAACGACGCACATTTTCCATCGATTCGCATCGCTTCTTTCGGAATAATTTATTGTATCTGGCCAAGGGTGATGCGAGCTGCTGGACTTGAATCGGTTCATGTACGCTACCAAAAAGTACTCGATTATATTCTATTTCAACGGAATCGATAGCACCAACATCCAAGATTACTCACTCCGAGAAAAGGTCTTTGAGTGCAGGTTCACCAGCGACAATTGCGGTTTTATTGAGATTTCTCAAATAGTCGGCCTTTGCGTGTGTGTCGTCGCTGTCCTTCCATTTGCGAGCCGCGTGACCGAAACACGCCCCCGGTGCGTAACGTTCCTTCAAGTATTTTGGAGTTCCGTAGCACTCGAGTTGTCCGCTTGTCAAGACTGCTATTCGATCGCTTATGACTTCCGCCTCCAACATACTGTCAGTGCTTACGATAATTGCTTTTTTATAGTTTTTAAGTTTCTGTGAAATGACGATGATTTTGTTTAAATTCTTTATTTGAAACATTTTTTTGGTATTAATCGCTTGTTACGAACCTTGAGAGCATACCAAATAATGCATACATCATCTTTATCTAAACCTTTCGTTGGATTATTTAATAAAACGAGCTGAAGAATATCAAGTATAGATAATATGAAGAAAACCGCATGGTTTTTGAAAATTAAAAATTAAAATTTTTTTTCAACTCCTTACATCGGTGTCTCCCACCATAGCCATAGCAAGGCTTAACCGTCTCAACTGTCCTTTACTAAGATAATAAAAGTACGAGTCAAGTTCATGTGACAAATTAAATGTCTCTGCGATGTCATTTATTTCCTGTTCAATATCATAATCACTTCTTCTTTTACATCGGAACTGAGATAAACATTTTTTATGAATGAAAAAGGAAAAAAAAAATTCAATTGAAATTTTTTGTTTATAAGTACCTGTGCCATGAATCTTAGATTATCACGAATTGTAATACGTGATAAAAAGCCATCCACGCCAGTAAAAATTCCAGTTTTATGTTTCGGTATTTTTATGGACATTTCAGCTAATAGCGGTTCTATAAATGGATATCATTAACAATGGTGCGTTAAAAAATGAAAAATAGTTGTCTCATTATTAACGCTACCTGATAAAGCTCTTAATAAAGTGTGATTGCTATGGCCATTGCATTCTACAACACTTGTTATTTCTTCTTCATAAAATTCCATGCTGATGTTTTTTAAGTTCGCATCCTAAAAAAGCCAATTTTACAGTTTCGATTTGATTTTTTCTTTTCCTATTTCAACTTACATCCTTAAAAATATTGACATTCTTTAATTCTATAACTGGGTTACTTTTAAGGGAAGGTGCCTGGATATTAGGATTTATTACTTTTGGTTTGCCACTAATTTTTACTTTCTGTAAAATACAAAATTAATTTTTAGCTGTTTAATTTGATAAGCAAAGTCTGATGGCTTGTACAGAATAAAAACATTACCAATTTTTGTTTTCTTTGCGGTTTTAGCCAAAGTAATGCCACAAAAATGAAGTACGTCACAATGAACATGGCAAAACTCACAGCTATTTGTGGAGTGTCCGAAAAATTCAGCACATCTCTCCATCGCAAGCCCTCTGCATTCATTTCCATGTACTCAGCCGTTCTTAGTAATTCAAGATACCAGGTAGAGGGCAAAAACATTCCCAGAGCAACAAATGTCGAAAAGCAGACGTATTTTTGCAGTGGCACGAGTTGGAGGAGCATTATACCATCTGAATAGGCGAAATAACTTATCCATATCCAAAACCCTGTTTTCATAGAAATTAACGCAATGTCAATAAAACTTAAGCTATACTTGAATGAAATGTGATTTTTGGGTACTCACTATTTCTCGTTATGAAGAATAGATTGAAAATCAGTATCATGTTATGAGTAACAAACATCGTAAATAACACAATCAGCAAAGATGTGTCGCTCTGGATAAAAAACGATCCAGCATAGACAAACGTATTACCAGTTACTGTAGCTCCAAAAATAATCACGAAAGTCATCAAGTAAACGATTGAAAATATGTGCGAAGTGAAATAATACATTATTCTGGATACTCCAGTGGAGTCAATGAAGTTCTGAAAATAAAGATTCAGCTCAATTTCGCTATTCAATATTTCAACTCCTCAGCCGCATTTAATCGAAATACTTACATCAATGCCGCCTTTATCCTCGTAATTGAGAGATGCGATTTCATACACTAATACTAACACCAAGTGGCTCAAAATAAGCGCATTTGTTGGTCCTAACTCGCTCACGTATCTGTAATGTATAATTCAAGTGCTTATAGAAATGCCAAGCAACGGCAAATTTTTCAATACTTACGACAAATACGCGTCATCTGTTCTCGAAAAATCCCTCTCGTTCGGAAGGTTCAATCTCTTCAGGGTAATCTGGAAGAAAAAACCAATATTCGGAAATAAGTATACGTATATCGATCGCATATAATATGCTCTGATCTATATCGTTATATATTCACGTTATAATTCGGCCTCGCCGAGCCGTTGCTCGTCCTCAATTTGATGAACGACGCGTCGAGGCAGGTCTGGGTCGAGAGTATCCGATTGGTCCTGGTGAGGTAATCGTCGCCGGACGACGAGTCCCAGTCCGTCTGCTCGTAAAACAAACGATCGTAGGTGAGTTTCTCCGACTGTATCTTGTAGTGCAGAGTCTTGCTGGCCTCGCCGACGTCGGCGGCGAAGATCACGCCCACGTAACTAGTGGGCCGCTTCGGGTCCCGCAATCCCAGAAGCTCGATTCCGCGATAGGCCTTGAGCAGCTCCGTCTCGCTGGCGAAGCCCTTGACGCTGACGCTGAGGTTCGAGTGGCGCGACGAGTCGCCATCGTCTTTCCGCGGAAAGCACTCGTCGCGAAAGCTCCGCATGAGCCTGTCGGTGAAGTCGTTATTGGGCGCGTAGTAGACGGCGTGCTGCTCGCCTTCGAGCTCCAACGGCCTCAGCGCCGAGACGTTGAGCGACTCGTCGCGCAGCTCGAACCGATCGGACCTCAGGGGCGACGTGTAATTGGTGTGATAGTGGTGCCCGGCTATCCAGACGAGCCATATCGTCGCGGCCGGGAACAACTGCATGAACCAATCTGAGCGGCGCCGCTTCCAGTGTGCCCCGATTATCAGCCGAGCGTGGCTGAAAAATTCGCCGTTCGACATGTTTTGGCCGGCTCTCGTCGAGAATCGATGGGCTGCTGCTCGCTTTGATGACGACGCACAATGACGACGACGATCGATACCTGCGCACATTTGGAGTCAGACATTTTTTCGTTGCTTTATTATCGATAGATCTTACATCGGTGCAATCGTATAATTTGTCATTAACTATATTACTGAGAATGCCACGGTACGTTTTTTCGTACTAAAAAAAATATCAGACTAACCATTCAAATGACCGTGAATATTCATTTATACATAATAGCAAAAAGCGAAACTCAAATTATCTTATATACCATTCGGTGTGTTATAGGGGTGTGCAAGTATACGTTTTTTTGAATTTTACCCGAATGATTATCCATAACTTTGGTTTTTTTTCGTGTACTCGCAATGAAAATGCTACATTTTTGCTCATATGTAACGCACGTAAATTGTCATAATCATAAATTTTAAAAAGGTAAAATTATTTTTTGAAGATATATTTTTTATATTCATTTCTCAAAGATATACTTTGTGTATTCGAAAAAAATCAAGTACTCGAAAGTTCTACTCGCGCACCCCTATCCAATACAATTAACGTTGTTATAAAATTATTTTCACTGTATGAGTCTCATGAAATTCGCGTAACATTGCCCGCGTACCACGTGACTCTTTCTTTATCTAATACGAAGTAGAAGCAGTGGCAACTCCGAAACTAGCATCATAAATAAAAATACGCAATTTTGCTGAAAGTAATAATACGTCACTAGGCCGGACGACATTTAATCGTGTTCAAATTACTAGGTGTTATATTCAAATTTGCATCGAATCTGAATTGAATAATAAAACTTTGAATTAGTCACCGAAAATTTATTGCAAACAAGACTACTATTTTCCGCTCACGTCGACTGTCTCCTTCGGACAGTTAATTAAAATTGAGACTCACCACTTACAGCCTCTTGGCCAACAAAGCAATAGCGTGTTAATACTACAACACGCAGCAACGTATTATTATCTTGTCTTTTTTTTCCTATTGTATTTTTTGTACACTTTAATCCCGATGTCACAAATATGAAACTGCTGCCACAGGGCACTAAAGTCTAAATAAGCGCTACTTTGCCGTTGTGCTTGTTTTAATTTTCCCCACCAGCATTACAACCAAAGAGCTCCGCTATGCGACTGACGAGGATCGATGGTTTTGGGAAAATTCATTTTTGGCAGTTTAACGCCGCAACACTCGATACTGTGCGTGTACAAGACGGTTGAGCTGTCGACCCAGTATAGGACTCGCTGTCAGCTGTGCATGATCGGTCGCTAGAAGGGGAAAACGCCTACGTTATAGGGTAGCTTATGTATTTTAACGGAGAAGGGGGGTAAGGGTGGGGTTGAACTCAGCATATTGGGTTGGAATACGCATGTAACAGCTTTGAGTCTCCGGCAAAAATTGAACTAGAAACAGTTGAATCTTACTTTTATTCAGAAAATCGAGTTGAGGGAGAAAGAAGAGATAAAACAAATACCTCAATAAGCACGTGTAACAGCGAAATAATGCCGTAGAATATTGAGAAATGATCAATACGATCAGGAGAAGTACAGCCAAAATATCAGTAGCTCCGATACTCAATGAAAAAGAAGCCTCAAAATGAAGTATACAAAATAATTACAGAATACTCCGACCGACTGTAATTGAAAAAAAAAGATCAATTCGAATATTTTCGTTGAATTTCAATTGAACTTTTGGCGCTCGTAAATTTCAATTACCTTGTAATAACAACGATTGGTGCCTTATTATGTAATCATCGATTATTCTTTGACGAAATTTCTTCTGGAGATAGCTCTTGATAGAATAAATTGAAGTGCTTCACATTTTAACAGTTGTTTTTGGATTTCATCGATACGACTGGCAGAGACCCCTGTATTTAATTTATAATTCATTTCCGAAAATAGATAAAACAGCATTTCGAATATCAAACAAAATTAAAAATTAAAGAATGAAAAAAAAATTTACAAAATACTTAAAAACTTTTTATCGATATTGAACCAATATCTCTTACAGGGTGCTTGCATCAACAAACTAATTACACAGACCAGTTAAGAAATTGTGTTAGAATACCCAGAAATTCTTTTCCCCTTTACAGGGCCGGGATGTCAGTGGTCTTATCATCAATAGAAAACTGGCATACAAAGTATCTTGAATCATCGATCGATCATGGGCAAAGGGTCGATCAGGGGGTGCGCTAATCTATTGGCTTTCCAAATTTCAGTCCTCTAGCGATTAACGATTCAGAAAAATAGTCAACCTCTATATGTTCACTGTAATAATAAAAATTTTAAAACTACATTCTTCTTTGACAGAACTCACGAAATTTCGAAAGAAATGTTCAATGTTGTTAAATTAAACTTTTAAAAGGTATTTGAATGACGAAAATGATAAAAAAATGATGACGTCTACTCGGGGAAGAAAGTAAGAGCTATAAAAATAAATAATCACGACGATGGTTGTACTGAAGTGTAAATCGTACGCGATAATAATAGAAAATTATTTAATTAAGATTTAATCGAACATTTACCAAACTTTTCCGAAGCAGTTAAAAACTAAGCACATTGTCGAGCATAATTCGTGTGTTCATATATGAGAACACATATCCGTTCGAAAAAATAATTCTGTAAAAACCAGATTTTAAGAGAAAAAAAAATTCGTCTATGATCGCCACCTCTCTGAAAGTACCCACGTACGTCCCGGAACACGTCCTCGTTGAGGTATGGCTGCAGACGCCGACAACTGTCACTGCGGACACCGCGATCAACGTCACGAATGAAGGCCCAAGTGACCTTTGCTTCGAAATTCGAGATGAGCTCCGAGTAAATGTTCAACACCCGGAGCAGGACTGCATTCACAGGCTGACCTCGAACGGCGATCCGTTTTTTGGTAACTTGGTCTAACTGAAGCTCGATCACGCCCGCAGGAGCCGTGCGCCGAGTTCTACAGAATTTAGATATTTTAGGGACGAGACGATAAAATTGCAAATGTGTAGTTTATTTAATAATGGTAATAGACGTGGAATTTATCAAAATCTTGAAGTAAATAAATTGACTTCTTTTATCAAGTGACAACAAAGCGAATATCAAAAATTCAAATTCTTTTGTTTTTGAAGCTATAAATGAGTTAGACACTAGCAACGTTTTATGAACAGAAAAATGTAGTAGTTTAATTAATGCGATCGATTATTACAAGTATATAAAATAGGCATTTTCCGACATTTATAGCGAAAAGAAACTTGACAAGAATACATAAGTTAAAAATTGTGTAAAACACCATCGATGCATCCGACAGGTTCTCAATGGCACTTCAAGAACACCACGATCAAGTCCTGGCCAACGGCCTGCTAGAATCTGTCCTTCATTTGTTTTAACTCATCTTCCTCTTCACGAATCTGCATAATTATGCCTGCCCCTCTGAAAAAATTTTCGCGAACCTCGTTGAAAATTTGGGACCACTTTAGCTAGGGTTGCATTACTATGAACTTCTCCTTCTCGCAGAATTCGTTCCACATGGTCTTGGCGTGACGCAGCCTCAGTTCCGATTCGCAAACCAAAGACTTCCAACGACTGTCATCACAATTCACTTTCTGCATGTCTGAAGCCCACTTCTTGAAAACTATCATCTCTTCGGCATAAAAGTTTGCTAAACGTTTCCGTTGGTCTATATCTATAATAATAGTATCTTTAGATTTAGCCATGTTAGTTATTTTCCGACCCTCTGTTTTTTTCAACTTTTTTATGTACTCGAGGTGTAAGCACTTGGGTTGTCTTTGTTCGGGTTCTGTTGCTGTTATAGCTGCTGTACTACTGAGCTGAACTGTTGAACTGCGCGTAATGTGCTGTTGGCGGCGCCTTTCGTCGAGATTCTTTGGCGCTCGGCCCCGTATCGGATGTAAGATTAACGAACGAGTCTATACGAGAATTGAGCCGCTCTTTGTTGCGTAGCGTACGTTATGTAGCGTGAGTGTATACGTGCTCGGCGAAAAAAAAAATACAAAAATGTTTTCGACTGCTCTAAAGCCAATTTTTATATAGTGCGAGGCGAGTTGCTTCAAGAATAACAAAATTGTTTTCGAAAATGCGTCACGGTTCGAGAAATTTTTGTAATTCAGATCTTGAGATGAAAAAAATCGCCTTTAGATAGTTGGAAAAGGGACAAGAACTGAGGTTTACAGATTTTCAAAATTTAAGTACGTGGTCTTCAAAATAAAAAAGAATTGCTAAATCACAAATTAGAATTTAACTTTGCTCTACAGATAAAATTTTTAACCTCATTTTATTTTTTAATAAAATGCTAAGATCACGCCCCAAGAGCTGTGTACATACACAGAGAGAAAATATACGCGTTTGAGGGGGGACCTGTAGTAAGCAAAAATCGCTGGAACGCTTGCCTGGCTCAATCGCTGGCTGTCCGGCGATGATATCCGGAGACTCTAGCGTCGCTTTGGTCGCTCGCAGGCTGGAACTTGAGTCGACCTATTGTGTGAGATATTCGACTTTTAAGGTTTCCTGGCGATTTTCTCGGGAAAAAATGAAAATTTCGGAAAATTTGACCATACCATTGGAAAGCTGAGACAATTTCCTATCGGAATGGTGGATTCATTTATTTTTTTAAGTGCATTCAGGTACTTTTTCAGTGAGTTATAAATTTAGCGATTAGACTAAATAATGCCGCGCGGCCGTAGATCGACTCAAGTCCCAGCGTGGAGTCTCCGGCGATCATTGCCGGACAGCCAGCGATTGAGCCAGGCAAGCGTTCCAGCGATTTTCGCTTGCTACAAGTCCTCCCTCAAACGCGTATATTTTCTCTCCGTGTAGGCAGAGTTCTACAGAATTTAGACGTTTTTGATAAGAGTTGATGAAATTGTAAATCTGGAGGTTATTGAATATAAGGGTACTTGTATTTGTTTCTTTATTTAATAATAGAATACTTTTTTGTTTGCTATTTTTTTATCAAGTGACAACAAAGCGAATATCAGAAATTCAAGTTTCATTTGTTTTTCAGGCTTTAAATGAGTTAGAAACTAGCAAAATTTTATGGATCGAAAAATTTAATAACTTTATTATTAATTGAGTCGATGATTACATTACAAAATAATAACATCTTCCAACATTTTTAGCGAAAAAAAACTCGACAGGAATACATCAATTCAATTAAAAACATCAAAATGGGAAATTCATAGGGGTTATCGACTCAAAATCCTTTTGTAGCACGAACCAATCGTAGAGGGTACTCTTCTTTTCCTTTTGCTGTTTGATTACCTTCAAGTATGAAGTGATTATGGCCGAGCCTTTAGAGAAGTCGTCATGAACGGAGAGATTAGACACGCCTGGTTTTCCGTGGTCAAGCAACATGCACTTAACGTTCTCGTAGAAGTCGTCCCACATGGTCTTGGCCTGACGTAGCTTCTCCTCGGCCTGGCAAGCCATAACGTCGTTCAAATCCTTCGCTCTACCCATATTTACCGCCATATTTTCGGCCCAACACCTGAAACGTCTCAACTCTTTGGCAAGAAACGTTATCAAGCTTTCACGTTTGCTCGCTGGGATAGTTGAATCATTGACCGAATTGGATTTAGACATGATCGTAATATTTCCCGATCTTCTTTTCTTTTTTAACTTTTTGATGCACTCCGGGTATAAATTGCGTCGTCTTTGCAAGCGTATATTGTCGCTCGACTAGCTACTATGCTACTGAACTGAACTGCTGCAATGTGCTGCTCGCGGCGCCTTTCAGCGGGATTCCCTCGCGCTCGTATTGGGTGTAAGATTTCTTCACGAGTAAGTCGGCTAAAGGCATGCGAGTTTTATCGCTCTTTGTTGCGTTGTGTATGTATGTACGTTATGTAGCGTGAGCGTGCTCGGAGAAAATAAAAAAAATGTGTTTGGATACTACAGCCAATTTTGAAATAGCGAGGCGAGTTGCTGAAAAAATAATATTTTCAAAAATGCGTTATGGTCCGAAGTATTCGATAGTTCAATTGTTTGGATTAAAAAAATCGCGTTCAGAGAATTAAAAATTGACGAGAACCGGGGTCAACAGATTTTTTTAATTTAAAAACGGGATCTTCAAAATAAGCAAAATTGCTGAATCATAAATTAAATTTCTGCTTTGAATCAAATGGTGTTTTGCCCTAAAGTTTCGTTCTCGAAAAAAGTAACTTTTGATTTTTTTTTCATGAAAAATGCAAAATCGTTTTTCAAGCGTATTGTGTTAAATGAAGAAAAACAATTGGGATGATATTTTACATGACATGGACATATTCGAGTTTTAGCGGAATTTGAGTAAAAAATACTTCGTTTTTTTTTTTTTTTTTTAAATAAATTCATTTTTTAGTCACTAACTAACATACTCCAACTTATTTATTATATTTACAAGTGTAAATCACAGATTCACCGTAAACAATTAATTGTTAATAATTATTGCATTCCGTTCACTAGATCATCAATAACTTAAACTTATTCTTAATAAAACGTTTACAGTTAAGATAAAATAGAATAATATAAATACTCAACTATAATACACAAGTACAAATCTAACAATTTTATTTATATTTAATTCGTGCGACATGTAGTAATAAACAAAAGGTTGAAAACGACGTAACAACAATTATTCTCATACATTTTTTTGTCAATTTTTTCTATTATCCTGTGGAACATCTTTATAAAGTCTTGGTAGAAAAGTAAATAAGTCATTCACAAAATATTCTAAAAAAAATTCCGGTAAAGAACATGTATGAATTTTTCAATTAACTAAATAAACATCTATTCTAAAACATATTTACAAAACAAAAATAAAAAAGCAGACTTTGATTATTTCAATTTTTCGATTGTTTCATTAACATAGACTCTTCCAATACTTGTTTTCTCATTGCTTCGGTTTCGTCTTCACTACTGCTAGTTTCATGATTATTATCGCTACTACTATCACTACTATGTACAACAACAAACTTATTTTTTTTTCTCCTTTGATTTTCGAAGTCTTTGAATTTATCAGATTTTTTCTTGGATCTTGTTCTACGTTTTTTCTCTAAATTCAGTTCTAAATCTGCTAATAACGAAAGATCTTCATCCACTTCTTCCACATATTGCGTAGCTTCTGCGACACAAAACGAATCCTGCACAAAATAAAATAAAAATTAGAATAATTAAATTTGTCTAACAATCAAGGTTCATTAGTATACTTACATTCATGTACGTGTCATTCATTTGGGATTGCATAGGTTGTGAAAAAACTTCGTGATCGGGTACGTGATTCGAAGGTTTCCGGAAGACGAAACCGTCATTTTTTACAAGATCTTCATTAATCGTTCGTAAATAATGTGCTTGCATATCGACTTTGTCGGGCACTTCTTGTGTATAACTAACAAAGTCTTCCAAATCGTCATCCTCTCCTTCACTGCCCTCGGATGTATCCATATCCGATGAAATTTCAGCTTCATCTTCAATGAAATCGTTAAGAATCCTTTTGCGTGCCCGAGACTTTTTTCTATATTTGCGTTCTGTTAAGTCGTTATCACTATGGTATCTACGAAAACGTGGACTAATGCAAGCTGGACTATGGTTGAGCTTCTTTTTTTTCCACGTTGGCAGCTCGTTCTCTTTCTCCATCCGATTTTGTAAGGTAGATTTTACATTAGTAACAGATTGTGGTAACTTTTTCACTTCGGGCATTTTGAAACCATCTTGATCAATTTTCGGAGCTTCAGAAACGTTGCGCTGAAGATTCGTGAGATTCAAAGTTGATCGAGCTTTCATCTGATGCAGTGAAAGAACAGTGGGATTGGGTTTGCGTGGCGATCCAGGAATTCGGAAAATAAATTGAGAAGAATTTTCTTCGTCGCTTTTTGAAGACCCTGATGGCAATTTTTGTCGTCTGTGTGGAAAGTTAGTATTTTTCAAAGCTAATGTTTTTTTCGAAGGTTTTATTTTCTCTACTGTTATCCAGCCTGACGATGATGTTTCTTGAGAGCACGATTTAAAACTAGTGTTATTTGGATTCTTCTTTGTCGATTTAGTATCACAACTACTTTGCTTGCTACTACTAGAAGGTTTAGAAAAGAAGTTACTAGTTGTACTCTTCTCTTCAACTGGATGATAATCAAAATCATCTTCCCAATCGCTAATGTGAATTTCGCCAGCGTTATCGTTATTATTTTTTTTCTCACTATTATTTTGCACTTTCTCAGTAGCATTAACACATTTCGCCATTAATTCAGATCCTTTCTTTAATTCATCATCACTGTCACTCACAACCATTACTTCCTCCAGCGAGTCGTGTTCCATATTCTGAACAATATCGGATTCTTCTTTTATTTGTGACATTTGTCGCTTTACATTCAATTTTTCTTTCTCGACGTCTCCCGTTTTATCATTCCAACTCATTGGTTCGTCCTTAATTTCAGCCTTGATTTCTGTTAACGTTTGTTCATGCTCACTTTTATTATTATTATCTTGTGACGCCGATGGACTGCCTTCTAAAATACTCAAATTGCCTAATGCGACACTTCGTTCTATTACACTCGCCTCACTATTTTCTCTAATTGCTTCGAGAGATTGATGCATAATACTTTTATTGTTTTTATCTAGCATTGTACTATTTTTTATTACTTTGAATGTAAACTGGGTCTCAAATTCTATATCACCGAATAAATCCTCATCAGAATCCATACCATTATCGTGAAATATTGGTCTCTTTACATCATTTACATTACTATTTGAATTCATTGAAGAGATCATTGGAGACGTTTCCAATTGTTCAGTTTTCAATTTCTTTGATTCCCTTAAAGGACTGATACTAGCACTTCGTTTTAAAGATAACCTTTTTGGAGATTCTGTTATTGTTCTATCTGATTCTTTCAATGGACTGATACTAGCACTCGGTTTTAATGACAATCTTTTTGGAGATTCTGTCAATGTTTTATCTTCTTTCTTTTCTTTATCAATTACAGTGACAAACATATCTTCGTCACCAGATGAATCTGCTTCAAGGAGTTCATCATAAATATTCTGACTTTGTACTGGACATGGTGAATCTGGAACTTGAGAATTTTCGGACTCTGTACATTCATCTAACAAGTTTTCAAAATCAACATTAACATTAGCAGGAGTTCTGATGCTGTCTTGTGAAGTGGAGTTTTTCACGCATTGTTCCTTTGATTTTGTAGAATCCAACCCATGATGTTTTATTTCAAAAGAATTAAAATCTGCGTCAAAGAAATCTGAACCAATGTGGTTTAAGCTGTGTCCTTTTGTATTTGAACCATTACTACTTGCTGTACCCATCTTTTTCTCATAAAAATCATCGATAAAATCTGAATCTGCAATTTCAGTTGGTATTGAATCAGACTTCTTATGATTTTTAGTATATTTAGATTCAACTTCCATAATTTCCTCATAATATTGTGATTCCAAGTTGGCTGGGTTTTTACTTATGTACTTTGATTCAGGACATTCAATAAAATCAGTTTTGTTGCTTTCAAGAAAGCTTGATATTTTACTATGATTGTAAGTTTCATTTTCAAAGGTTTTAAATGTTTCTCTAATTGAATTATCTTGATCCATTTCTGAAATGACTTCACACATTGTAAGATTTTTAATCCAATTTTCAAGATTGGTCACATTAGGCACAAAAAAATCGTCGAAAATATTTATCTGAGAATGCTGAGGAAAGTAAGACAAATCAAAATTGAAGAAGTTATCAAAATTACTATTTTTGTCTGATTGTTTCATGGTACAAAGCGTGAGGAATTCAAGAGCATCGCTATCTGAAGTAAGAAGCTTGACTTCGTGTGGGCGAATAATGGCATATGGATTTTCTCGTATTATGTTAGACTCCACTTGAAATTCTTCCGATAAGATACCTGAATCATCATCAAACCCATAACTAGGTAGTTTTTTATATGAGGGCAAAGTATTCCCTGTAGATCGCAAATCTGGATTTAAAAATTGCATCATTGAAGGCTGAAAAATTGAACAGTGTACATTAAAAAGGGAACTAGCACCTTGTAGGCAAAATTAAACATTACTTTCAAGGATGTTACATAATTAAAAGCAAAAATTTTTATATTTACTTGATTTTTCCTAGACTTTTTAGGTTTTGATTTTGGAAGTTCTGTAGCTTCTGTAGGTTCAGTAATTTCAATCAACTCGGCTGATGTAGGTTCCACAATATCAGGCTCAATAGTTTTCTTTTTTCGAGGTTTTTTTTCAACTGGAGCTTTTGCCTTTTTAGTACCTTTACTAGCCTTTGGTGTTTTTGGAAGCGGTTTTATAAACATTGGAAGGCACTGAGGAGTTAGATTTGGAGGTATCATCCTTGGACTAGATTGATATAATGATGATGATATATTGCTTGATTCTAGTACTTTGCTATTCAGTGAATCTTTTTTTGACATTGCTTGTTGTAAAGTCTATGAATAAGTATTGCATAATTAAATTCTAGAAAATAACTTAAGTTTTTAAAATGTATTATGTAAAATATACCAATTCCTCCTTTCCTTCAGTTAATAAAATAATAACTCTACCACTGCGTTTTCTTCCTGTTCTTCCCATTTTCTGTACAAGTCTTGTTGGAGTACTTGATGAAACATCAAAACAAATAATTAAATCGACTTCACCAACATCCAATCCTTCTTCACCTATAAACCCATATAAATGTATGCTTATACTAATATCTTAATTGAAGTTTTACAATTATTGATGGTTTTTACCAACTGATGTAGAAATGAGAACATTAACTTTATTGCTTCTGAAGTCTTCCAAGGCTTCCATCTGTTGCTTTTGTTTTTGTCCTGCTTGACCAACCAACATTTGTGGTCTAATCAACGGTCTGGTTAGTAACAATAACACAAATACTTCGTTAACTATATCTCGATACTGTAATTGTATAAAAGTTTAAATTAAGGTTTGAATTCAATCAATCTCAATTAGCTAGAACATTTTTTCAACTTACTTCAACAAATACAATTGCTCTGGTGCTTTTATTTTGTCTAGCATACGACTCAAAATGTTCAACTAATATTTCGCGTAATTTCATGAATTTTTTATGTCCAAACACAAGATTTTCAGGAATCTAAAATTTTTAAATGATAAGATATTTTTATTAGTTTATTTAATGATTTTTTAATGATTTTTATAATTATGTAAGTACCTCTGGAATAGGATGATTCGGTTCAATATTTACTATTGGAAAATCTCCGATGTAACTCTTTACTTCTTCTAACAAAGCTCTCAAATTAGTTTCAGAATTAAACCAAAACTTGTCTGAGTGATCTGAAAGACAATTGATTAGGTGATTTAAGTATTTTGTACATCAAGCTATTAAAATCCATAAAATAAATACAATAGGTTGTTAACTTACTATTATAAAAATGATAAAATGCTCTTAAACCATGTTTTATCAAGAGCTCATATGCATGATACATAGTTAATAATACATTCAAAGTTTTCATTATTGTTCCATGATTTGGTAATTTTTGAGGTCTACTTTCGTATTGTTTCATCAGCATAAATATCTGAAGAACGTAATTAAATTTTTTGTTTGTTTATTTTTACTTGTAGGTAATACTTAAAAAAATGTTTTCTCACCCTTCCTTTTGAAATATTTCCTGTGTTGCCTTGCAGAAGATGTGCTTTTGTTAAAATTCTTACATGAGGATCCATTACTTGGATATATTTTTCTTTAATTTGATCTAAATCTCTTCCTAAACTAACAACTACTCTTTCCACAGATTTTTCATTTGTGTAGGGAATTATATCTGACGATGAATCATCTCTCAATTCTAACTCGGAAATTAGCAAGTTTTGAATGACCTGTAAAAAATTAATTAATTAAAAATGTTTCAATGCAGTATTTAATAATATTTATGTTCTTGAAATTTACCTCTCGCACATGGTCAACTTTACTTCCAGGAGTAGCTGATAAAGCTAATACGCGAAAATATTTTGATTTGGTACTCAACAAGCGGACAATCTGAAATGAAAAAAGAAACACTAATATTAATTATTTGTCAAATTGAAGTTGTTTCAAATAGTAACAATGAAACTTACTTCACAATAGGCATGTTTTCCCAAAGCTCTATGAGCTTCATCAATAACAATACATTTGATGGATTCAAAGGGTACTAACTCATTTTGAAGATCTTTTTGAAATGTTTGAGGAGTTGCAAAAATGACACGTTTTTCTATCCAGGCTTGCTTGCGTTTATTTGGATTAACAGTTCCTTTAAAAGTACCACAGATTAATGACAATATTTATTAATTGTATGATAAATTTAGCTTACCAGTTAATTCAATACTTTCTTCACTTGGAATACCCATTATATCATGGCAAGCTTCTATTTGCTGAGCGACCAATGGTTTGGTTGGAGCCATAAATACAACTCTTCCACTGGGATACCATCGCCAAAAGTTGTACATCACAACGGCTGCGATGAAAGTTTTTCCTAAACCTGTGACCATACAAAATGTATTATTTTCAGAGTAAACAAAGTGTTGTAATGGTTAGTCAAGAAGCATATGAACTTGATAAATAAACAAAAAAGTACTTACCCGTGGGTAGGCATACTAGAGTATTGTTGAACAAGGCAGTTTGAACTATATTGAACTGATACTCTCTTCTCGGGTAGTTTTCTGGATAAATCCATTTTAAGCCGGACGAAAGATCAAAGCCACTTGTAGCGGGATCAGAAGAAAAAAATTGATTCTGACTCGTCGACGAAGTCGAAGCTTGGGCCTCCCTTTGTGCCATCTTAGTTCTTGGCTCTTTGTTTTTTTACATATTTTGCTCACACGAACGTCGTTGTCGCGTTTGAAATAATTTGAATTCGCTGAGCGGCCGGTCGCATCATGCTCCTCGCGAGCAAAGCGGCCAGTCAAACAGTATCGCTATCGAATCACGCATAATCACATAATCGATGAAATCGACGTTGCAAATAGTTAATGTTTACGTTCGCGCATAATAACCTCTGTCCTGGGCGCGCCTTTATTGCGTCGCCGGTCGCGTGCAGTAATACAGGGTCCACTGGAGCAGGCGAATATTGTGTCTGTCGGCGGCAATTTCACGCACACGCTCGGGCTTTGACGCAGCGGGCAGACGGTGGCGGGATTCTGTGCATGTATCCAAAGTGTACCGCGTGTACCAAAGTGTGAACGATATACAGGCGCCGCCGAACAAAAATTGACTTGGGCGCGCTTCTCTCTCATTCGCGGGTTGTTATGGCAGCAGCTCCCCTCTCAGCTGACGCAGTTTTGACAGGTATACGTTCACCACGGTATCGTGGAGTCGCGCAGGTAACGGCTATGTAGGATAGGCGCGCGATCGAACAAACGCGACGTATATAATCCGTCGTCGTCGTCGTCGGTTTGTAGCAACGCGCGATAATTCGATCGGCGCCGCCCCGTCTCGACTCGCTGCCGAGTACTCGAACGGGGTTATACCGCAGCAGCGCACAGGCTCCCATTCGGACGTGTAAACAATTATCGAAATTCGAGTCAATCGGTAGAGCAAGAGAGCGATTCGCGATGGGCTGCAAGTGCGTCGACGAGTACGACAACGAGGACGTGCGCAAGCTGATCGAGCGGCCCGAGAAGCCGGCCGTCAAGAGCCCCAGGTAAGCGTAGTCCTCGTGGACTCCAATCGAGTCCGACTGACTGCGTATGTGCGTGCAGGTACCGATCGAGACACACGAGCCGCACGATCCGCGAGATCGCCCGGTCCAAGAGCGCCCACAAGACCCTGGGCCAGCCGAGGGTGCCCCTGAAGCCGCCCAGCGCCTACCTGAGAAAGGGCGAGGGCCCGCGGCCGCGACGCTCCAAGTCCAGCCACAAGCATTACCGGCCGCCGGACTACGCGCGCCAACTGCCCGACTGGAAGCCCGCCAAGAGGCCGGCCAGGTGCGCGCCCGGCGATCTGCCGGATCTGCCGAGAGATCCGCGCGAGGGCCGACGCTCGGCGGGCCAGCTCCTCGACTTCTGCAAGAGGAACGTCGAGGGCGTCGTCGAGTATCGCAACGCCAAGGTGCAGTCGATCAAGTTCTGCGACACGCGACACGGCGACCGGCAGGAGCTACGACCCAGCGGCCTGCAGCTCACTTACGTCCACAAGAAGAATTACGGCCGAGTGCCGCAGTTCGTGAAGACGTCGCGCGACGACCGCAAGAGATCGGCCGCCGCCGCGGCGAGTCAGCGGGATCGATCCCAGGCGGGTTTGCCCACCGGCTGCGTCTACCTCACCGAGGACCAGAGGGCCAAATTGCTCGAGGTAAGAGTCGCGATCGTTGTGATTTTGCCTTCTTCGATTAAATCGCTGTCTCTCATTTTTTTTCTCTCTCTCCATGTACAGAGCATGAAAGTAAAGCGGGCTTCGCTGATGAAAACGTTCCAGTGTCTGCCGTTCGTCATCGACACCGCTCCGAAAATCAAGAGAAAAGCCGCGCTCGAGGATAAGCTCAAACAGGTCGAGAAAGACATTGAACTGTTCGAGAGTCATCCCTACATCTTCGTTTACAATGAATAAATCGTAACAATTCCTGGATCAAATTTCAATTATTGCACTTCTTTTCGCGTAAATTGCTCGTAAAAGTTAATCTACGTAGAGGCCTTCGTTGCGTTATTCTTTGCGCTTTTTTTATGCAGCTTATATTAAAGAAATTCTCAGTAGAAATGTTTGATAAAAAACTTTTACAAATTTATGTGTGTATGGGAATCTTGGTATCATCGTCAATATTCAAGCTCCATTGGAATTTCGAAAAAGTATAATTTATTACCTATCCAAATACAATTCAATAATAACATAATGAAAATTATCTAAAATTAAAATACCAAAAAACTCGTTTCCAAGATCATTACAGAGCTTTCTCATAGAGATAACAAAAACGATGTTAAAAAAAAGTTGAAATACTTTCAAAAAATTGCATTTTTTGCTCATCGTATCTTTCAATGGGCAAAGCTCGGTAAACGTGCTCTAAGCTCGAAATCTCGATCATAAATTCATCGTGACAAAGGTGCAGCAGTCTGCGCGCTCATACAAAAGTCGCGCGCATGCGTCTCGACGCACAGTCATGCTGATTTATTTAGCAACAAATAGAAGGCAAAGAGATAAAGCTGCCAATTCAGCTCTAGCGTTATGCCGCAAGCTCGCAAAGAGAATCAAGCTCTCGTCACGCATTCGCAGTTGGCCCGCGCGATCGTCGTCGCTGTTCGCATCGCGGCACAGTAAAATGTGCACATTGTGCTCGTACATCGATAGTTGATTAGAGTCAAGTAAGCACTGCATTATTTTTAAGTATATTCCAATTTCGATTTCCATTTGATTGGTCCGATCCGCTGAAAAAAATCGGTATACACCGATACCTTTCCGTTGTTCCAACGGGAAGCTTTTGATTCCCCGATACGAAACGCTAATCTTTCACTTTGAATGTTGCGCACTTACAATCATAGTAACTTTACGAGTGGAGCTTATAACACAGCTAACTTAAGTGATGAACGATTGCAATAATCGTACGAGATAACAGTGTATTTGCTCGCTTGACACTGACATTAATTTATCGGAGTTGGCAAGTCGCACGCGGTGCTCGTTGGCAGACCCTAACACACATAATAGTACTTGCATTGCGTTCGCATCTCTCTCTCTCTCTCGGCGTGACCTTGACGTCTGCACACGTACGTATACCCCATGTGTGCGTCGTTTCTCTCCGAATGTGTACCTCTCGATAGTTGGACTATTCGTGTCAGTGGGATCGTGATTTTCTAGACAAAGCTGGGTACGATGTCGAGACTGAGTCGGGAGAGCTTCAGCAAGCTCGTGTACGAGGCCGTGGAGGCCGGCGACGCGGCGGCGCTCGGCGACCTGTTGGATCGCGGCCTGTTCATCGACGGGCTGCAGTACGCGGGCGGCGAGACTCTGCTGCACCTGAACGCGCGCCAGGGCAACGGCCGAGTGACCCGACTGCTCCTGGAGGCCGGCTGCGACGTGGACGCCCTCGACAAGGACCGCAGGACGCCGCTGCACGTGGCCTTCCTGCGCGACCGCCACGACGTCGCCGAGGAGCTGCTCAAGTACTATCCGGACGTCAACGTCAAGGACAACTGGAACGACACGGCGCTGCACTGCTACGCGGCCCACGTGAAAATCAGCGAGGAAGCCGACGACGAGGCCGAGACCGAGACCAGCCGAACGATCGAGCTGGCGAGGAAGATGCTCGTGCTCGAGGGCAACCCCAACGAGCCGGACGACCGCAAGCATACGCCCTTCCACAGCGTCCTCATGAACGGCAACTGCCGCCTCGTCAGCCTGTTCATGCGCTACGGCGCCGACGTGAGGGCGCGCAACTGCTACGGCAGCACGTGTCTGCACTACTGCGCCCTCAACGGCAACGGGGCCGTGACCAAGCTCGTGCTCGACACGCGACTCCTCTCCACCGAGGACAAGACCCTCGACAAGGGCGAGACGGCCCTGCACTGGGCCGCCCAGTACGCCAAGTACGACTGCCTGCGCTGCCTGCTGGACGCCGGCGCCAGGGTCGATTGCACCGACTACGACGGGCGCACGCCCCTGTTCTACGTCGCGCAGCCCCACTATCCCCTGTACTCGGCCGAGTTCACCGAGCAGCGGAGGGCGTCGCTGGAGCTGCTGGTTCGGCGCTGGGCCGATCTCAATCACTGCACGCGCTTAGGCGACACCATACTGAGGATCTTGGTGAAGCAGGACGATGCGAGCGGCGAGAGCCTTGCCAAGCTCGTCGTCGCCTACCTGCTGTACGGCCAGCACGTGCGCAAGGTGCGCGTCAACGACAAGAACATGAAAATCATCAGGAATAATTCCATGCTCAAGGCGCACTATCAGGCCTGCTCGAGCGAGTTCGCCGCTATGAAACGACGGCGCGTACCCGAGTGCACGGTGACGTTTTTCCAGGTCGTGGACGCGCCCCTGGCCACGGTCGCCACCTTCACTCGGAATCCGGACTTTGCGCGATTTTTCGACGGGCCGAGATTGCGTGAGTCGTTTCCCATTTACGCGGATCTCGTGCTCGAGCGATTTCACGAGGCGGCCGGCTATCAGAAGATGTTGGAAGCCGCCACCTGCACGCTCTACGACATTTTCCAGTTCGCCGATCCGACCTCGGTGTTTTACGAGAAGGTTCTGAGGAGTATGGACAAGAGCGATATCGCCAATTTGAAGGATTATTCGTCCACGAGATCGGTATGAAGTTCACAAACACAACGCTCATTTGTATATACGTTCATTATTATATGCATATTTTATTTTGAATCAATTTCGTGGATCGACAACTTGTACCGAGCTCGAACCATCGTCTTTTTTGTCAATGACCAAGCAAAATTTTTTGTAATCTCGAAGATTGGCCCGTTTTTTGGTCCACCATGCCTCGTATCCTGATCTGTAATAATCCGGTAGAGCTGGAAATTGTCCGTCTTGCGCCAAATCGTCGTTGTAAGCCCACTGATTGTGACTTAATTTGTGCGCGTGACGTTTGGCTACTGTACCATTGGCAATGCTTGAATTCGAATCGGCAATCTGATCGTCTTTCGAGGGCAACCTTTTACCTTTGAGCACCGATAAAAAATACTGAACCTAAAATTCAATTTTTTATTTCAAAGTTATCAAATTTAATCGAAATTTTTAAAATTATAAAAACATTTAAATACCTGCATATGAAACATAGGAAAAGGTACAACTACGGTAGGAATTCCAATGAAGCACATAGTCGGGCGTGTGATATTGATCAAATGTTTGTAAAGTGGGCTAACGTAATTATCATCGACAGAAATGCCACAATTATCGTCGAGGAAGGGATATGAAAATTTATAGCCCGTACAAAGCATAAGAACGTCAGCTGCAATTGCTGTTTTGTCTTTTAAAATAAATTTGTCATTTTCGAATCTATCGATGCCCTGAACCTGGGTAAAACCATCCGAATCCGCTATGCTTAATCTGCATAAAATTATTCACTTCTAGAATTATAAGAGTTTGAAATGGGTAAGCAACATATTGTGAATGGGCCTACCTGGAGTTATTGTGACTCAAATAAACATGTGAAGCTTTACCAATTAACTCGAAAGCTATATCGATTCCGGAACTAGAGGCTCCCAATACTATTACTTTTTTATCTAAAAAAGCTTCGGGTATTCGATAATTATGACTATGTATTATTTCACCATTGAACTTATCGAGTCCACGAATGCTTGGAATGTATGGATCGAAATAATGCCTGTAAGAAATTGAAATAAAATTTACTTCTCGTAATATTAAAAAATAATTGAATATTGAAGAATTATTCGCCATACCCGTTACATATCATGACTGCATCAAAGTATAAACTTTCTTTTTTGGATGTTGTTAATTCGTGAGTGTCAACTTTCCACTTTTCTTCATTGTTCACTGTCACTAATTTTACCCTTTCGATAAGCGTTTCAAACTGAAAAATATATTTTTATCATGCATATTTTTTTCTCTCAAATAATGATAAAAAAGTTATAAAAATGAGATATACTTTTATAAAATCATGCAATTGAAAATGTTGAGAATAATCTTTCAAATATTTTAAAATGTCAGAATGTAAAAGACAGCTGTCCGTACCATCAGTTTTTATTTCAGGAAAATCGGGGAAACTCATGATTTCTTTTGGCAAATTTGTCCTATGTCAATTAAAATGTTATGAATTAAATCATTTCGAATAAAATAGTTGCGATGATATTATACCTGAGATTTTTATACATGCTGGAATGTATAGGCAAACCATAGTTATCCCGGCCAACTTCCTCCACATAAGTCCAAGTTCCACCGACGTCAGTAGATTTCTCAAATAATACGAATTCAAATGTATCTGGATCTCCCGCCAAGTGACGTGCAGCGCATAAACCCGCTGCACCTGCACCTATTACACACACCTTGATCTTTTCACTCATTTCGTTTGTCGCAAGTGATTATTATGAATGTTCTTAATGTCTAATCATGCCAAGAAAAATATAGTATATTATTATATTAAATATTTCAACTGTTTCCACTGGATGGTTATTTATTTTAATACGTAATTATCATTATGAAGCATAGCAAAGTGACTGCCGTTACTGCGTCTTACTACGAACTACGCAACGCTGTACACTTCGGAGTTGTCATGTGCTAACTCGCGTCTTTTTAAACCTTACCGAGCGATAATGAGTACTTGCAGCGCAACTACAGGTTGAGTGACGAACCTCGAAGGTAGATTAGGAGCTGATGTATGACGATTAGAATAAAACGAGAGTTTTCAGGAAATTAAAGATACCAGTCATAAAATTAAATTATTTATTACTCGATCCTCGATAATATAATTTCATTCATTACCACAATGAAACATATTTTCCATTATTAAAAGTAATTATATCATATAATTTTAATAAAGTATCTATAAATGTACTTTTTCTGTATAATAATTAATCTGACCTAGATATAAAAGTAATGATAAGCTAACATTTTAGTTTTCATCAAATTTTAAAAGTATATAACTAAACTTTTTGTATTATACATTTCTCTCATTGCTACGATTCATTCTACTTCTTTACGGGTTTCTTTTTTTCGATTTATATTAATGCTCATTTATGCGATATCTTTCATTCTCTACAAAAATAATTAGCAGATATTTATAGATGAATACTCGTTCTAAGCTCTTAACTTTGTCTCTCTCATGCTTATATACAGGAACACTCGGTGAATGAATTTTCATTCGATCGATCAATTAAATGAAAATCAATCGAATTTTAAAAATTGTAAATACGGCTGTTTATTATTTTACACAGAATATTTTTCTATAAACCCTTTAGATATTGTATACATTATACTTGACTCAGTCCTTTCTCATACATATTAAGTCATATATTTATTTAAAGAATCATTTTTAGAACTTGCCAAAACGGCGTTATTCTACATTTAATGTATTATTTTTTTTATATTCCGTACATTTTTTTCAGTTCATGAATAACAGACAGCAAATGAATTTAGCACTTGAAAAGTCTATAAAGTTAAAGAGCAGAATAAATTGTAAAATTAAATTCAAGATAATTTTGCTGACATTCAAGTTTTCGATTTTCTGCATCAGTATTGATGTTGTTTTATTTACAAAATTAGCATTTTTGGGTAGTAAAAGTAAAAACTTTTTTAAAAATAAGTTACGCTAAGTTATTTACAAAATTTATTATGATATAAGACTTGATTATTATTATATTTCTTGTATAGATAAACTCAACACATTTATAAAGTTTAATTATAAATAGTTATTAGTGAATTTAAATAGCCTCGTTCATACTCAAGACACAATAGTGATTTGAATTACCCTTTTCAATTTACTACACTTAAATGGCTCATATATACAAAACGTATAATATATATTTGTTTCAGAAGTTCATTTCTGAAATTCAAAGATAATTTTGTTAATGTAGATCATCATGCAACCAATGATATTATAAAATAACGGTAAATGAACGTGTCATACTTAAAAAACTATCATATGCAACTTTAAATTCAGTATAAGTTCACATTTCATAAATTATAATCAGTTGTTACTTCACATCCATTAGTTCAACTTTTTCAAAAATATATGTAACAGTTTAAACAATTTTTTAGAAAAATTTAGAATTTAGAACGTCTATCGTCTAAAATTTACGAAATATTAAAAGCTTCACTAATATTTTCATTGTGTGTAAATTACATTTTTTTATACACTTCTACTTTCTTGCGATAAATGTCAATGCAAATAATACAATGAACATCGTCTAAATGCACTCTATATCGTAGTTGTAATCATATTGTTTCTTAATATTCTCGTATGAGAGTGTTATAATGATATGATACAAAACCAATTCTATTGCTCTACATTTTGGTAATTGCAAATTAATGATGGTGATGTGAATACTTGAAATATATTTAATAAAAAATATATCATCTCATCGGGCACCAACGGTTGTGGATTATTTAAATATATAAAAGTATACGATGGGATACTTTATTTAATAAGTTCGGCGCACGACTGAGCATTCGATAAAGTTGAGACCGGCGAAGGGACAACTTTTCTTATCCTTCGCTGACCGATGAAAGTGAACTGCGCGTCGAGCCCGTGGCCGTCGTGTGATGCATGAGATCTGGCAGATCTGCCGGCAGGTAAAGAGGCATATTGCCTGGTCCGTGCACTGCATCCTGCTCTTCGAGCTGAATAGCGAACTGTTCTTCGAGCTTCTGTAACAGCCAATGTTTTATTATTAGACTATATTCATGTATTAAACGTCTAAGTTTGATTGTACGTCGATTTTTTTACATGTACTATCGTATAGACCTGATCGTATACACGTACAATGGGTAAAATATTAATGATTTAAAAGAGAAATAATTTTAGTTCATTAGACTCTTCAAATCCGACAAATGGTGATCAAATAATGATGAATAATACTTATATACACTAACCTCTCTATAATTCTGAAGTTTAGACTCGTGTTAAATTGTCACCTCAGTAACAAATTTTTTTGCCTTTTCAATCATTTTTGTTGGATAGTTGGCTTTTTGTTCTCGTAATTCATGGATAAATGAAATTTGTTTGGTTTTTTCGAAAGATTAAAAAATAACAGAACAAAAATTCCAAGCACCCAAACACTTTGCAACACGTAATTTTTTTCAACATTATTAAGTAATGATCACCATGAGCCCTTTTACCCAACAATAAAACATTGATTTGGAACCATTTAGATACGCTCAAAGACACATGTAATTATAACTTTCGTGTACACATTCAATTGTGTTACTTTTTTGTAGGCACATAAATACATTTAAATTCAAAAGTATAAAAATGACACAAAAAATGAAGTGGCAACATAAAATAATTTACAAAAACGATGATTATACAACATATTTAATTGCATGATTAACTTCAATGCGAGGACTTAAAAAAATGAGATTAACAACGATGATACGAATGTAAATATATGTGTAAATTTATAGTACCTGAAATATATTATAATTTTTATTTATAATTTTCTACGTAGATAAGGAATAAATTAAAGGAAGCTTACATTGCAAACGAAGACATTTTTTCTTAAACAAAGAAAAGTCAAACCCCACGATAATTTGTCATCATCCGTTTACATCAGTTACGATGTATAGCTAGCATAGCACGTCTGCATGTAATGATAAATAATTTATCTTTAAATTTTTTCAATTCCTTCAATTTTTTTATTTATTATTTGAAAAGGATATACTTTTTGACTTTTAACGATGTAAATTTCTGTTTTTATACAGAAATTAATCAAAGTTAAACAAGTCAGCAAGTATCCTGGCAAAAATTAATTACAAGGGGGTTTCAAGAGTTTAACCTACTTAGAAAACTAAAGTTATCTACAATTGCGAAATTTTTTCATATGGCATGTCGATGTATGAAATTTTAATGTTTTACATCAGTATGATACATTTGAAATGAATGATTTCAAGTCGAAGCATTTGCTTCATTTAAATAACAAGTAGTAACAAAATTTACTACATTAATTTATAATAAAAATTTACAAGTAATAAGTATTCGAACTTTCAAACTAGCATGACACGTAAAAGAAAGCACGATATAAATGAATAATCAGTTGTATCTGTCTTCAAATGAAATTTTTCATTTCTAATATAAATAATGTACACCCGAATATTTGAATTAGCATTATTATTTCGATGAAGAATAACGAACCACGTATAGCTTGTTAAGTACGATTGTCTAGACAAAACATCGAAGCAACATCATTTGGTTAGCAAGAAGCGATGAATTAGAAATATTAGCTTTGGAAGGACGAGGATGAAGAATCAGGCTTTCGTTGAGAATTAGAAGAAGCGTTAGCGTCAGACGTCGGAGAAACAGAATGAGCTCTACGAGATAGTGTCCCACCAGGTAGTGAGCTCGAATCCGATCCACTTAAGCGTACGCGGGGAATCGTAAACAACCCAGGAGAAGTGTTAGGAGTAATAGGACCGATAGAAGTATTTGGATTTGACTGAGGTGACGTCGGGGCAGTGTGTAACGTAGAACGTCGTCTGTTCAAGCTTTCAGTTTTGGGAGGTCGAGGAAGGCTTGAGAACGAAAAGTCCATGTGGCTGTAGTTGGTCAAGTAGAAGCCACTCATCTTCGAAGGTAGAAATCCACTAAAACGTGTCTCCAAAGCCTCCATTTCTCTTGCAAGTTCGCCTTCAAAATTCTGCAGATGGATTCGTCAGATTGTTTCCTCACGTTAGTTTGTTTTTCAATAGATATTACAATATGTTCACAATGATTATTTGAAATGGTTTTCCCTTTTTACCGAGAAATTTTTGAGATGATGATATAACATGAATTACTTAGCAAACTACTTTATACGTTAATTTGGCAATGTTTACAATTTTAAAATCATTTTAACTATCTACAAAACTCACTCAACACTATTTTATGTTATTTAATTACAAAATTTTCACGTAAGAAATTATAATGCATCTTAAATTACCCAGATCTTCATTTCTAACGTAAATATTCAAGTTATGATCGAAGTTAAATATCCTTAGCATAAATCTGGATAGTAGCTGATCAAGGAGGAATTTTAAAATTATACTTTTTCCCATACCTGTTTGCGCGGTTTGAGTTCAGCCTTCCATTCCCGTAATTCCTTAGCATACGCTTCTTCCTGTTCTTTGAGTTTGATGGACTCATGCTCCACAAGCATTTTCCGTTTTTCATTCTGCAGTTGTTCTAGCTCTTTGATCGTTGCATCACTGGAAGCTCGCATTTCCTCGAGTTGACGGGCATGCTTCAGCTCAAATCGTTGCTGTTCTGCACGGTATCTTTTCTTTTCATTCTCTTGGAATTTCTTTAACTTATCACGTTCTGCTTCAGGATCGAGAGCAGCTGACATCGAAATTCTCATAGACTCTCTAGAGGTAAGAAAATTCATTATGGTAAGATCATTTTTTGGAAAAAAAATTTGAAATTAAGCAATAACACAATACCGGAACATCATTTCACGAGCTTTCATCTCATTCCTTATTCTCTTAGGCAGGTTTCGTCTCTCAATCGATTGGCGCTTGATGAGTTCCTCTTCTTTACGTTGGTTCATGCGTTTCATTTGTTCAAGTTCCTTTTCATGCCTGATAAGCATTTGGTGACGCTGCAGGAAGAATAAATCTTTGAGGTGTCTCTTGAGCAGTTGATTACGCTCGTGAATATGACGTTCCTCAAGTTCCCAAATAGCAGCTTCGCGAGCTCTTAAAAGCTGTTGTTTTTGTTGCAGGAATTGTCGCTCCATCAGAGCAATTTTCTCGCGGTGACTGTCAGACAATCGTCGAAGCGATGAATCATGACTCTCGTTCAACTTCTCCAAGAAAATTTTTTCGCGTTCCTCATGTTCAGCTTCGAGTTTTTCCTTTCTCGCTTTGAACACGCTTTTACGTTTTTCCTAAAGAAAATTCAAAAAGGATTTTTAATATCATTTGTTATAGAAATCAATATAAATATATTTATATCTACCTTAGGCATAAGATCAACTTCTTGCTTAAGTAGTCGCAGATCTTGTTTGAGACCTTCCCTGAATATTTTGAGTTCCCGCTCTTGTTCAGCTCTAATCTTCTTTGACGTGAGCCGAAGATCGTTTTCTTGCTGTTGCTCGGCTTTATCCAACTGTTGCCGTTGTTGCCGTGCCTGTAATTCTATTTCTGCTTCAGCTTGGCGCTCAAGTGACAACCTTTCCTGCTCGTTACGCTTTTCCTGTTGTTCTTTAGCAAAGTGTGATTTTTGCGACAAATCGTTGAACTGCTTCTGTTCAATTTTTTGCAGCATTTTGAGCTCACGTAATTCCTGTTTACGGAAAATCTGGTCATCGTAGAATTTGCCATTCTCGTCATCACCGTAAATCACCTTAGAAGTGGTAGTTGTGACAACAACCCCATCGATTTCGAATTTCCTCGTTCGTTTTCTCGTTTTCTTTTTCAGATTCATCATTTGTATCCTCTCGATGTCCTCTTTCGTTCTGCGAGGCATTTCACGAATGTACTCCGGCTTGCGTCGCAGCACCACTTCTTCATCACCATCGACAACCGTTTGCGAATGCCTGTTGTGATTTTGTGCCACAACTGCCGGAGATGGGCCATTGTTCTGTTGCTGATTATTCGCCGTCTGCACGTAATTATTCACGTTGCTATTGTTGTTGGAGGTATTATTATCCTTATTTGAGCCGCGACTATCTTGACTGATAGTCGTGGAAATCGATTCAGCGTCTGATCGATCAATGCTCTTACTAGGAGTGTGCGACCGCGTCGAACCTGAGTCACTTTGAGAACGTGTTGTTGAATTTTCATAGCTATCTGGCGAAACACGCTTGCTTTCTTTGATGATTTGTTGAGAGGTTGAAGTTGCCGAACTGTTACGCCTCGACTTTCCACTGCTACTGGGCGATGGTGTAGTTTGCTGTTTTGTTGGCGATCGGCCTGCAACTGCTTGATCTATTTGATGCATACGAACCTGCAAAGTTAAAAAAGATTTTAATGATAATCAAGTTATAAGATAATCTAGGTGAAATTCTATATTTACTTGTCCATTCATTATTTGTTTGGCATTATCATCATCTCCTGTAGTGATAGCCAACTGCGACGAGTCTATAACTTGTTCGCGTTCGTCTCCGACTGTGACAACCGATACATGACTAGTATCTTGTAGCATTAATTGTTGTTCATCTATAATTGGACTGACTATCACTACTTCTGACTCGTCTAATCGCTTGCCAATCTTTTTGTTTGAAATAGATTGATCAGCGCCAATTACAATAGCTTGTTCTTGCGGTGTGTACTCTAAGCTATCTAGACTCGTAAATCCATCGTCTTCAGCTGAGCTTTCATTCACCTGTTTCAAAAATTAATATATTAAATGAACTATTGAGGTTTTTTACAAATTTAGCATTTAGATGTCTATTAACCTGAGTTTTATTTGTTTCGTTTGAAACTATGACCACCTCGGATGAACCACGTCTTACTGTTGGTGGACTGGAAGCTGCATCAACTAGAACCGGTGGATGCGTGGTTGTTACTACTGTAACTTGACTTACGTTGCTAGCTAAACTATTAGAAGGATCAGGACTCTCCGACATTATCCGCACCGTTGTTGATGTGTTTGCACGTGGATCTCCTTCTTGTGCGCCTAAAAATTAAAATATTACAATAAGTATTTATAATATTTATAATTGATTTTTGCTTAGGAAATTGTATGTACCAGCTGTAATAACGACGATATCTTTTCCAGTCGGACGGGGTGCATTATTTTTAATTGGAGTTGAAGTGATAACCGACACATTCAGTGCAGAGCCGCTCATATTTTTGGTTCTATCTAAAGCATTCGCGTCTTTTTTGACTGGAGTCAGAGCTTCGTCTGATTTGTCTGACAAATTTTCAATTGAATTATCTCTTTTAGCTTCAAATTCTTGACTTCTACGTCTTTCAGCAGATGCCACAGCCGCTGTTTTTATATCACCCATGGAGCAGCTACCCTTCAAAGTTCCACTACTGCTTATCGAGCTCGATTTCGGACTGTCGCTATTAGAATCTCGAGATGTTTGTCTCGAGATAACATTATTTTGTTTCGCATCTGCGTTTGCATTGGACAATTGTTTTTCCAGTAAGGCATTGAGTTTTTCTTCGACGGATTTACGCTTTTGATCGCTAAGACTAAGACGGCTCTGCGGGTCCTGCTGTTGCGATTGCTTCTCGCGAATGTTCTTTGGACTCGGTTCAAGAACATTCTTTTCTTTAAGTGAACTTGGTTTTTGTGGCGTTTCTTTATCACATTCTTTAGAGTTTTCGGACGGTTTGGCGGGTAGAGATTTGCGTTTTTCTTCAATGTTTGAAACTTTCCCCTTATCAGTAGATTTGGACCTTAAAACTATCTGTTGCTCCGCAGTAGCATGTTGTTTCGGTTTATCCGGCGTAGGCGGCTTACGACTATCACCGTTGTGTGGCTTTGTTTCCACTTCCATGGCACTTGGTTTCTGTTGTTGCTCAACTGATTTACTTTCATCGGGTCGAGCGATTGACGGCGGTCGTGGAGCAGGACCTTTTTCACGAGGTGCTCGTCGTTCGACTTGCTCTGACGGTTGCGTCGGTGGTTTTGGTGCCTGCAAAATTATATCAACACAGCATTAATCGAAAAATCAATTTTTTACAACACAAGAAGATAACATCTTATGAAGAACTTACGGGTTTCTTTTCAACAGTAACTGGAATATTCTCTTTGGACTCAGTTTTCTTAAGTTTCTTAGAACGCTCGTCTCTTTCACCATCTCTGTTAATTTCTCTCTTGTTGCTTTCTTCCCTCTTCGCCGCATTAGCTGGCACTGCAACGGCAGCATTTTTCTCTGAAACTGTGATATCAAATAATTACAAATAATTCGAATCTCGCATTATAGTAAATAAGCAGCAAAATTTACTTTTAGCGTCATTGTCGCTTCGTACAGATGCAGAATCATCCACCATATGATCCATATCCAGTGGAAGTTGGGATGCACGGTGCTGCTCCTGTAATAAAGAAAAAATATTGTTGAAATTTCTGAAGCAACAAATTTTGTAACAAAAATGTTCACTACAATCTAATCTACAAAAATTGTAATTAAAAAAATTAAAAGAGATCAAGAAAATGTTAATATATATTAGTTGAAGATTTTAATCACTCGAAGTTTGATCTTGCAATTTTACGATGAACACAAATATTTACGAATTCGATAAAACTGCCAAGATCTTCATAAAAAGCTCGTGTAAAACGACTGCACATGCAAATCTTATAAATAAAAAATAATAATAATCACGGAGGGAAATTATACTCTGCTTAAGATAAGAAAATAATATTTAGAGTAATAAATAAAACAGTTTCAAGTATAGGCGCAATACTTAAATGCGATGAAAAGTGGATCAAACCTATGTAGGTGAAGTCAACTATAATATCTTGTTTTTCAAATGTACGTAAGTGTAACGCAATGTGTAAAGTGCAGGCTATGCAAGATTTTGGGCTGGTTTTTGGGTTCAGTTTTCCACTAACCTGGCAAACGCACGATCGATGGGGCTGTTCATCAGGCCCACCAGATGAATCGCATGTACAGCCAATAGTTTTTTGTTCTCAATATTATAAATTGAAAAAAAAAATTTGTTCGCATGTGTCATCGATGCATATATTGAAAAAGCACCAACAGTTATATTAAATATTTATGTAACGTAATTCAAAAATATTATCGAAACAAGGGTAAATATTTAGCGTAACAATGATTTTAAAAATAGCACAGTCAGAGGATAAATAATCTCAGATTAAAAACTAAAACACTATATTATGAAAATCAAACTATTGCAGATCTGTATTAGGGGCGAAGGGTAGCTAGGATGTGTATAATATAGTAAGGTTCAACACAACAACAAATTAGGCACTTGTGAGAACAAGGTAAAATGATATTTTTTCAATATCTTTATTACTTGTCGTTGTTTTTTGCGACTTATAACTTACTTAGGTCTTTATAATAATTTATTGGTTTCACATTATATAAGGCATTAAGGATCAAGTGTGTATTTTATGCTTTTAATACAATCATGAAAAGAATTTTATGATTATACCGGAACAAGGCTTTGCAAAACTTATCATTACGGTCATGCAAAAACCAATACAGGTTTGGACTCTTGCTCTACATTTTAAAAGAAAGGCAGTGGTTATGACAAAATATGGATTATCGATTATATAATACACACATGATAAGGAATTTTCTGTCGACTAAAATTATTTCTCTAGCGCAAGCACCTCTTATTTGCTTTATGAATAATAATATATTTGTTCCAAGTATCGTGTACTTTTATCACACTTGTTATGGTTTTGAGCTTATATACTTCGCTTTTCGTCCAAGTCTTTTTTCATGTTAGCATATTTAACTTTAATGATTGATAATTCCCTAACAATTATGTTAAGCAGTTCCCGAATTCAGTTTAAAAATGGAAATATTTAAACTCAACCTCTGAGATATCAAATGAATATTTTTCTGAAAACTTTCATGGATTCCAAAAGAATGTCATCCATAACTTTTTAGAAATATATTCAGCAGAGCTTACAGAAAATGTGTTAGGAAATTTTTAATTCAATCCTGGCTTAAACATTCCTTCGAGGCTACGTCAATATTTTTTGGAGTTTTACATTCGCTTGTTACAACATTGTCGTTTAAAAGATGAGATAAATATTTTGATTTTAATTCATGACTCGTCAAGTATTAAAATATATATTCATATTTTTTTCTCTACCATTTTAGTTTGTTCATATTGTAATAATGCACGTGTTATATTTGACTATTATACATTCTTAAATACTTAATTCTAAAATTAACGTGCACATAAAATTTTGAAAATTTGGCAGTAAAACTTTTTGGTTAAATAATTAACTTTTTAATGTTCTCAATTCCACCCACATTTAAAAATTTTGATTTCAATTTTTTCCATTATTTAACGAGTAAAGAAAAGTGTAGCCTTCATCAAGAATACTTTCAAGTATTAAAAATACATGTTTAACTTATTTTTCTTACCGTTTTGATAAAAGTTTTTATTTTGTTAAAAGTAATTTGATTCACTTATTGTCAAAGCAATGAAAGTGTTTATTATGATAAAATATTATAAAAAATTGTTTTATTGTTTAAAAAAAGTACCCGTGTAAAAAATTGTTAACTTTAATTATGATTGTAGCAAAAATTTATTCATAGGATGTGATTCCTACGCATAAGGATTATACACGTTTATTTTTCACGGGATGAATATGTACGAAAATTGTATGCACTATTTTCATACATATTCATTTCTCCAGAAATAACGATTGTATATAATCCTTACATGTACACGCCCTGTCAAATATATGTGTAAAATTAGATAAAAGAATTACAAAAAAATTATTTTATTATGAATTAAAATTGATGATTTTCTAATGACTTATACGTAACTGGGCGTGCTCTTTCTACAAATATCTATTTTGCTGATGACGGATTATCAAAAATATCCGTTTCATTAATTTATTATCCAAAGTGATACGTTGTGAATACAAATTAATTATTATACATCTATAATAAGCCATGATACTATGATTCATAAATTGGAATCAGTCACACATTTAGGTACCCTTAAAATATCAAGGCATATAACGGAATATAATTCTATTCATGTTTTTTGGTTTATTGATTTAATTAACAAATTTTGCCAATGGAGTGGAAAAGAAAATTCTCTAAAAAAATGATTTCAAGAATCACCGATTTAGGTATCGTTTGTAACGCAATGTACTTTGCAAGCAAAGCAAGAGGACATGACTGATTGACTTTTAGTGAATAGCGCCAACGAGTCACTGGGTAGCAGCTTACCGATCCGCTGATACTGTTCTCGGTGCTTTTTCGCCTTTTTCAACTTCTAGGATTCGTACGGTGTGTAAGCGTGTAATAGAAAAAAATTACCATAGCACACATTGACGACTCTTCCACAAAATTGTTCATCATTATAAACGGTATAGATATTATGTACAAGTATCAATGGTTTAATGATTCGCGATTATACTGAGATGTGCGTGCCGTTTTATACCTTTATTTTTTATTTTAAAAAAATTACTCTGGCAAAATAGATTACTTAGAGAGATAGATTTTAAAAGCATCAATTTGTTAGTAGTTAATGGATAGTATGCGGCAAATTAGTACAAACTTTAATATAACTCGGAATAATATTTTTCAAGTAAACGCATAACTGATATCATAATGGGATAAATTAAATTGGTGCAGTAAATGTTACAAAAAAATTAAATTTTTTTTATCAATGATAGAAGTGAAAAAAATGTGTAGTGTAATTCAATAGTAAAAAACCAAAAATATGATGTTAAGTGAGCGTCGCTTGGAAAATATTATTCAACACTAAATTAGTTACTATCACTCAATACTTGCTGCGTTTAATTAAAAGTTTATCTGACACATGCAATTTTTTGCAAATATCATTTTAACCATTTCTGAATACTGCACTAAATGACTATATGGTAAGAAATACTTTTCATCTCGGTAATGATTGTCGAAAAGTCATTTCGTACGGTAAAAGGTAATAAGGATTAAAAAAGAACGTACCTCAGCGTCCTCGTCGACGAGCTCCTCCTCAACGACATCGGCTTTATATTCGAGCAATAAATCTCGAATGGGCTTGGAGTCGAGCGTGCGAGCCAAAAACGGATGCTTGAGCAATTCCTCGGCGGTCGGCCTACTCTGCGGATCCTTGGTAAGTGCCTTGGAGATGAAATCGTTGAACTCCTTGCTCCAGCGACTCGGCTGCTCGAGTTTCGGCGGGTCGCTCTTTTGAATCTTGAGCAGGACGCGCATCGGCGACATCTCGTGATTCGGCGGCTCGATCTGCGCGAACTCGATCAGCGTTATGCCTAATGACCAGATGTCGACTTTGAAGTCGTAGGGATTGTCGCGGAAGGTCTCGCAGAGAACGACCTCGGGCGCCATCCAGTAAGGAGTGCCGATGAAGGTATCGTGCTTCTGAAGCGTGTGCTTGTTTTTCGCCGACACTCCGAAGTCAGCTGTAAGGGGGGTTAAAGAGCAACGATTAGAGAGGACTTGCGAGCGACGCGAAGAGCTGACTCTTAGAAAAAAGTATACTTGCCAAGTTTGACGCCACCAGCCATTGTGAGAAGTACATTGCCAGCCTTTAAATCTCTGTGTATGACTTTGGATTTGTGTAAAAAGGCCAGTCCTTTGGCCATGTGCTGACAAACGTAAGCTATCTGAGGCTCGGTTAGAGCTTTTTCAAGTTCGACCATAATTGAATCTACTGCGCCACCGTCGCAGTACTCGATTAGCATCTGTTATTAAAGAGAAAACAAACGAACGGGCTAGTTAACGCGTGATCATTAAAGCTCAAAAGTTTTCACGTACGAGCGAGAAAGATAAAGAGAAGAGCAGTAAAAAAATCATCATCGGGCCAATACATAATTTACGCATCGATGAGCTAAAATAATGATATCAATGTATATCGATCTGCCGGCCGGGGGCAAGCGCCATCGAGTGTGCGTGTCTGCGCGATAAAATAACTGAACAACGGCCGACGAGCAGCAGTTATACACGCTTCAATGGTATTCTCTCGATTACGAGATTAAAAAAGAGAGAAAAAAAAAGAAGAGGAAAACGGAAAAAAGTCTCTTACCCATAGTTTGCCCTCGATAAAGTAAGCCTCGTGAAGCTCGACGACGTTCGGATGCTTGCACTCGGACAATATGTCGATCTCGATCATAAAGTCGCTGAGATCGTCCTCGCCCTCGAGCGCGCACATTTTAGCGGCTGCCAGCTGATGCGTCTGTTTGTGTTGCGCCTGCGACAACAAAGAGTAAGAAAAAAATTTATATCGTGCATTTATCCTTTGCGATGTACATTGTACGCTGCAGCACACGCGCAGGGGCCCGAGTGAGAAAAAGACGATTTAGCTCGCGTGTGCATTATCGAGTGGAACCGAGCGTTAAGTATCTCTTTTATTGCAGCGCAAAAGCGAAGTGCACAGCTGAAGGGTTTAATCAGATCATCTGTACTTCTATAGAAATATCGCGAAACTCTCGAGGTCGACTTTTTGAGCGGAAATTATCGATAATCGAGGCGGTGGCGGCAGCTGCTGCTGAGATGAAGTTTTCATCCTTAATTACGCGTTTGGGTGTACATAAAGAGAAAAGATAAAAAAAAAAAACAAACAAACATTCGTCTCAATCAAACAGTCATTAGTTGAACTCTGCGGTAACCCACAAAGCCTTTTCCTTCTTTTTCTCCTTTCTAGGTCAAATCGCACACCTACGTGCATTATACACTCGCATGTCATTCTCGCGGCAGTACACTCGCGGCCGGAAATCGCGTACACTTACGCGGAAGAGAATGTGTGTTCGTTCGCTATATACGCAGAGAGCATAATCCTGTTGTGTCATCGTCAGCGGCGGCAGCGGCAGCGGCAGCGCGGCCGAACGTAGACATTATTGAATTATGAAGCACTACGAGTGATGCCGTCTAATAATGTTATAACGCATACATAGACGCCGCTAACGTCGATGAAAAACGATGAAAAATAAAAATGTTTATTAGCAACAATTAAAAAAACTCGAATGCAAAAAATGCTATAAACGCGATCCCCTAAAGCTATTTTTTAAATTATGAACCGATAGTATTTAATGTATTGAAATTAACGGGAAATAACGGGTTTAAATTAACATTAGTATGATTTACAGAATAACAAACCTTGTAAACTTTTCCAAAAGCTCCATCGCCGAGCTCGCCAATCATATCCCAAAATTCTTCAGGACTCACGTCCATTTTTATATTATTATAAAGCTTTTTCTTCTTGGCATCGTTGCCACCGAAGTGGAACGCCTTCTTCAGATTCGACAAAAAAGACATGTCGACAAATTTTTACTCTAACGTATTGATATACAAATTGACTCTTTTCGCTTAACGAAAATCCGTACTCGCTCCTCGTCTATCAACTTGAACAAAAAAAATCAACAACTAAAAAAGAGTATTTTTAGCCACTACTACCGACGTATGGCCATTGCACTGTTTTGTTTTATGCTGCTGGAAGATCCCTCATAGGTTCCGTTAACCTGGGATCTTGCTTGATCGTTCCCGCATCTTGATAATAACAGCTGTTTAGCACTTTTCACAGAGACGAAAGCCAAATTGGACCGCAGCTTTGATGAGTCGTTCTCAAACTACAACATGTTTGATGACAGAGATTTCTCAAGCTCGTTGAATATGCAATTGCAGTCAAATTCCATGTCAACTGCCGGCAGGAGCTAGAACTGAAAAAAATACAAGATTGTGAGTATAAACGTACATAAATTTTTATAAAAAATTTAATGTAATTAAATCACGAAAATAATTATTTCAAATAAATTTAAAACATTATAGTATAAAGTTTAAAGTACAAAATATAAACAGATAAACCCAAAAAAGATTTATTAAAGTTTCAAGCCTTGGAATATTTTTAGTAGCTATAAAACTAATAAAACTGATTTAGGTCGATGTATCATTTACGTAAACAAAGTTAATATGTAAAACAGAGATACTATCAATGCTTCGAACCCATTCGCGTGAGCGTTAAAGCCGACAACACGAAATTCTGCTACAACCAGTCATACATAAATCAGGAGCACGCATACAGTTTTCAACAACAAACTCTCAATTTTTATGTACAATCTGGATAGATATTGCAATGTCTCCTCAAAGTTACTGCAGACAAACGCACAAGCAGTATTCTATCCAAAACTCGCATTACGTATTCTTTCATTTTTGTAAAAGAGAACAAAAAAGTGCGTCGCCCAGAGTTGATGAATGAGCAGACAGATAACAGACTTGACTTGTACACGACTTTTACAAACGTGTAAAAAGGGGTGAATGAAAGCTCGTAGAGCGAAAAGAAAAGTCCACAAAGTACGCGAAAGAGAAGAATATTAAAGGGGTTTGAAGGAAATTGAAGCGAACGCTTTGAAAAAGAATAGTGAGTACTATGTACTGAGCATGAAAAATGTAAGCTTGAAATTAAAGCTGCTGTGTAATTATTGTAGTGTCCGCGCCTACAATACGATTCACACATTTTTTCAAAATCCCTATTCGATACTCGATGAGAATTATTTCATTTTTAATCACTTTTTGTTCAAGTACAGACATTTTTTATAATTGATATTTCAATTATTCACAATTCCGAATAATACAACAGTTCAAGAGTCCAAAGTAAAATATGAGCTCGAACGGACGAAGTTTATGTTCAGACTGGATGTCGCGTGGTTAACCGTTGTTTCTCTGTTTGAAACAAAGACAAAAGTTGTCAACGCCACCGCTTTTGCAGCTAACGTTACCAGCTTCAATTAGTGGCATAATGAGCAAAACGCCACTATAAAAGTATACACCAGTCTACATTTCAACTAACTATACGTGTTTTTTTTTGCAAGTACAAAATAGTCGAGCAGGCGAAAGATGAAAATTGATCAGTTATCATTTGTATGATTGACAAGCCGCGATCGATAACTTTTTCTTGCGTCAAGGAAAATGCCGAAACGTCAAAAAGATGGAAAGTTTTCCAGCGTCAGTGTGTCTTATAGACTCTCGAAGATGTGTAAGCTGAAGAATGCGCCTATGGGATTTATAGAGAAAGGGGGACATTGGTACCTTCCACGCGCATTTATCATATACAACTACACGCCGAATACCTGTACAGGCACTCTTCGAGAAAAGTGCGTTGCAACTCGCTCGTAAAGAGAGAAAGAGAGAGAGAGAGCAAAAGAGACATTCCATTGGATAGAGAAAACTAGGACGAGGTGTATATATGCATTAGGTAAACTCTGCAGCTAATAATATATCTACATATACGTATACCCACACGCAGACACATACACATGGAAGTTCAGTTTGTGGTTGAAGCGCGGGATGCGACATTCCAAAAGAGACTCACCGTGGTGAGCTTTAAAAGTCTTTTTGCACTTTTTAAACGACCAATTAATACCTGTTCTCGATAAGAGAAAATTTTACGCCTCGCGATCAAAATAAAACGATTCGCAGGCGTGCGTACCTATCGTTTAAGTATATAGAAACGTTTCGCGAGATACATAAATGCATCGTTTTTGCAATACGCATGCTTTCTGGAAAAAAAAAGAAAATCACAGCGCGGTGTTGTAACTTGTAAACAGGTGTGTGCTCGTATTTGTACCAATTGACATGTCTTTTATAATCAGGTCACGTAAATATCACACGTACGATTCGTATTTGCTCGCTATATGTTTCGCAGAGGGTCGTTGGTGGTCACTTATTATTTCTGAGTTTTTAAGGAAGCAGTATTGAAAACGTAAGACATGAATGAATGGAATGAAATTTTTGTCAAATTACAACTACGAACGATATCATAACCATTTTGGAAAAAATTAAAATTCAATGTAAAATTATTAAATTAACTAAACTTTATCTAAAACTTTTTATGAGAATGCTTCTCGTCATTTAAACCTTTTCTTTATCAAATCAAAGGCCATAAAATAAAAATTATAATTTGGAAAAGAAATGTTAAAAGCAATCGAATGATATACTGTGTATTTATATGAGTGTTAATAACCATTCTTCAAAGAAAACTTAATTTTTCTGAATTCTATAGAGAAATGGAGATTTATGTACGGCATAATCCATTTGACTGGTAGAAATACCCCACCTTTCAAACGTAGAATGATTCTATAGCACTCCAGCCTCTCAAGAAGTTTATAATTCTAAATTTAAGATGGTGTATCAAAAACTCATTGTAATTTTTATGGTCATTATATTTAGATTATGAGCTGTTGTGTGCAATTTCTTGATGATTTTTTGCACGAAAGGATTATATCAATTGAATATCAATGAATCATAAGTACAGTTGAGAGTTAAATAGTAACGAAAGATAAACTATCACACGAAGAAAGAGAACTTTTTTGAGCTTGGAGTATAAATAACCTCGTTAAGACTATTTTTATTTTAATGATCTATAATTGTGATCAATTATCACTATGTAAGTTCTTGAAAGATCATAAAAAAGCTATAGTTTAAAACCATACACGTTAAGAAACCATTAATTGGGTTTCGCTTATTTTTATCACTTTATATCAAACTTTTCACACATCAGCGTGACATCGTCAAGGTAATAGGTTCGCAACGTATCAATTAAAGTTTACTTCACCGTTACATCGAATATTCAGCAGCATAACGCTTGTGTAACATCACTTTCCTTATTTGTGGAATATTTTTTCTCGACTTCGATCAAACTATATGTAACCCAATCTTGATGACAATCGAATTGAAAAGAAAAACAAACATTCTCGATGAGTTTTTTCAATAAGCAGGCACATGATATAAGTGTAGAGCGTAGAGTCTAAAAAAATCGAAAACAATCGTTTTCGCATGAATTTCCATTACGAACCATGAAGAAGAAAAAAATGAAAGTATACATATACATTGAGTTGAATATTTATAGTGGTTAAACTTCATCTAGACGTCTGTGGACTTATACGAGGATGAGTCACTGCAAAGAGTAGCTCGTGCATTTCCGAGAGCAGTCAAGGATCGATTGATTATATGTCTTGAGAACATATTAATAATAATAATAACGCATTTACCGTAATTGGCACCAAGTACAACTGGTGCGTTCAACTATGCGAAAAAAAGAAGTCATCGAAAAATGGAAAAGAAGCGAGGGATTCACACTGCAAAATGCGATATGATACAGCTTGATTCGTGCTAAACATGAATCATGATATCAGGAAGAATTGTAGCTGTGTTGCCTGCGCTGCTGAATGCGCATGATGTCAGCGTGTGATAGCGCCGCCACAACGTGTGATTTATTCAATAGAATGTCACATTTTGCGCTCACTAATGAAACGCGTATTATAATTTTAGATTGTTGAGCTAAAAAAAAAACGACATTATATTTCAATGAGAATCGACGAAACAATCACGTTCGGTAATAAAAAAAAAAGAGGAGAGGCTATCGCGAGTACACGCGATGCTTCGTTTCGCCAATGGTAATAAGATAAACTGATCGTTTCGCGTTTATAAATAAAATGTCGAATTATCATGAGCATAAGATGGAGAGCTCGACAAAAGTATTTCAATCGGTCGAGTGAGGGAAATAAATCACAGCGCAATTGAACGCATATCGTCCCTTATTTATTACAGTAAAAAGTATCATACGATACATCGACCCTGTATACGATGTTGAAAATTATGAAACAAATCTATTTCTGTTCTTCTTGTTTATTTAATGGAATCAAGCATTGCATTTCATACCTGAAGTATAAATCTTCAACGAGACTGCGTATAAGAGGTGTGAATATAATTTATAAAATGAACGTGAAGGTATTTGCGACGATTATCAAATGTAGATAATTATTCATCATTTAGATGATACACTTAGATATCTTAAATGTCTAAGGTCCTAATAAATTACACAGTGAACGCGCAAAATGATTTAATTTTATTTTTCAGCAATTTTAACCAAACTTCATTTACTGTACACATTAATTTAATGATACTGAACTAAGAGTCAAATGGAAGAGTTTTTGTGTACATTTAGAGTTGCATTTATAAGCACTAATTAGATCATTTGAAAACTTCTTAATTAATATTAGATTTCATGTTTACGGAAATACGGGATCCTCGAATTATTATAATACGAGCTCGATCTCGAAGGTCTGGGAAGCAATAAATGGGAAAAAAGGTATTGGAAACAGATAAAGAAACTAAGATATGACTGGTATTTTGTAAGTGGAGATCTCTTTGATTATTATAACGGCCGAGCGTATCATCGTCATTCCTTTTTTTTCCTTTTTCGACGTCATTGCTAAAAATATCATATATATAAAGTCGACCACACAGAGAAGCCAGGCGAGTGAAAATATTTATAATGTATTATAAATGCGTCGAACAATTTATGCGTACGATGGAGCGATGATGAAATTATTACACACGTAGGTAGTCGAGGAGAGAACGGCCTTTTACTTCGTATAGTGTACTCAATCCGGCGTATAATACGCGCGATATGGATATTTTTTTTTCTTCTTGTTTTTCAATTGTTCTTTTTTCCTTTTTATACTTGCTCCATGATTTATTTTACATTGTTATATTGCTAATTTTTCCGATTGAATTGTTTTTGCGACGCTTGATAAATTCATTCCAGTAAAAAAACGCGGAAAAAATTCTCTTACGCCCATAGTAACGCAGCCGACGTGACATAAAAATAACGTCGCGTGCACTTTATGCAATGTCCGTGCACATGTGTATAATGTCAAAG